CCGTATAGGCGGTGCTGGTGCAGAAACCGTTGGACACCCACGAGGCGCAGCTGGAAAAGGTATCTTTGAAAGCGGGAGAGAGAGAGGGAGAGAGACAGACAGAGAGAGCGAGAGCGCGCAAGATAGAGACAAAATGCCCTTACTTAGAATTCGTATTCCGGCATCCAGTCGTCGAAGCCGTTGTCGAAACCAGCGAACAGAGACCACCTAGAAATCTCGAGTTCCAAAACCAGGGAATTTAGCTTACAGCTCGCCGGGCAGTACTGCGTCTTATAGGCGGTCGTGTAGAAGGTGCTGCTGCAGAAACCGTTGGACCTCCAGCTGGCGCAGCTGAAAAATCGGGTAATTAGCCGGGATTTTGAGGAATCGTATTTGATTCTAGAAACGGCTTACTTGGCTGAGTTGTCGACGCAAGCCTGGGCGAGGAGGAGAACTGGAAAATTTGCGTTATAAAAAATAAAAAATTTGCTTTTTAATACACCCGACATCTTTCTAACCAAAACTAAATGATTACTACGTTTTCAAAGCCGGGAGAACGATGCCTGTGCGGGTTTTTGGCTACCCGTCCCGTCTACGCATGTGATACGCAACACGCACACCTCCTTGAAGTCTTCGTAAAACATTACGTCATATAAGTCACAGAGCTCCGAATCAAACAAGCAATTGAATAGATAATTTAAAGGGACAAGCAAGGGGATGTCCCGGGATTTGTGAGGTATCCTACCGCGCCGCGACACCCAGCGCGCACGCCGCGTGACCCTGTTGAAGGGCTCGTAGCATTACGCAATGGCAAAATCAAGATTGCAGGTCGTGTATCGCGGCCGAGCCAAAAAAACCTATTCAGAATGCAAGGACGGAAAATCCATACACTTACATTGCGCGTCCCTTTAAACTCCCGAATCTCAGCCCGATAACCCGGAAAAAACCCAAAATCCAACCGGAAAGCGACGCAACAGCCAGCTTCATCATTTTCGTAGAGTTGGGCAAGTTTGAATGGCTGAACGGCTTCAATTGATGATGTTCAAGCTTCACCTCGCGAATATTTATACCATCTCGTCGAATATCCCGCCCCTCCCCGCTGTCCAAACAGTCCGAACTCGGGGTCGGTACAAGGCGGCCGGTGACTTCAACATTACACGCCCCTCCCCTCATTTTTTGCTCGTCATCTACGTGGGAGTGCGTACGAAAAGGGTCCACCGCCGTTTTTAGTAAATAAAAAAGTCGGGCGGGCCCCGGGTCACCGAGTCGACATGCAGCTGAACAGATACAACCCCGCATTTCGCATGTCCGCCCAAGGAACATCGCACCACCACCCACAACTTTGACTCGAGTCGAGTTTTTTCGATCCTTTCGTTTGGCCGCGCTTGCATTTCGCCGGATTTTATTGCGCTAAATTTTGATTTGGCTAAATTTCTCAATTCATTTTCGGTTCTTTCGCCCTATCATGGCGACCAACTTTTTCTAAGGAAAGTAAAAACTTTACAAATTTCTATTTTAAAAAATACAAAAATAACGAGTTGTCGATCAAAAATTGCAGGCTTTTGACGAAAACTTCGACTTTTTCAAACTATTTTTAAAGTTTTTAGATAGTTTTTTCGCTTAAATATTGTCCTATTTGACCAAAACCACGGTATAAATACTTACTATTAAGTTACTAGGCATTTCTAGATTTGGGCAAAAAATTGGGTTGCCCTCCCCCCGACACGCGAAAGAGCCAATTTTTCAGTAAACAAATTCGATGAGAAAAGAAAATCAAAATGGACTTTTAGCAAAACGAGATTCTGCGGAATCCAATTCGGTGGCCCTAAAATCCAAAACCACTTCTTCCCTTTACAGTACTACTTAAAACATTACTTTTTCTCGCGGAAAAGCAAGAATAAACACCAGGGTTGGTCATTTTGCGTCCCGTCCCCGTCCGTCCGTGTCCGGACGGGGACGCGGGACTGTCACCCTAATTTGCATAAAATTAGGGGACGGACCAGGACGCGTCCGAAAAGGGATGGACGGACAGACGGGGGACAGGGGGACGGACAGCGTCACCCCGTCCCCGATGCAAATGCGGAAATGCAAATGGTTTTCCTACCAGTAATTATTTCGGGTCTCCTTCTCGTTTATTTAGGGCAGTCAAAAATACATGCAACTCAGACCAATCTGTAAGTTATACCTAGATGGCGTCGGCGCTGCAGATAATCACCATTTTTTGGAATTTGCTACAGAGCTTAAAAATTCGAGAAATTCAAGTTAGAAAGCAATTGGTGACTTACTCTACGTGCTAGGTTATAAGGGCTTCATCGTAATCATGCTATCCACGTTTTGTACCTTGCTCTGCCAAATTCTAAACCCAGCCGAAGCGTGATTTGAATGCCAGTACTTTATCTCCGTAATTTGCATCGGGGACGGGGACGCTGCCCGTCACCGTCCGTCCCCACCGTCCGCGTCCCGTCCCCGTCTGTCCCCATTTCAGGATGCAAATTAGGGGACGGGGACGCGTCCCCGTCCCCGTCCGTCCCGTCCGTCCCTAAACAACCCTGATAAACACGAAATTACAACAATATACCTTTTCATACAAAATATGCTTTATTCGATTCAGCAAATATCCTAGACAAAGGCACCGTATATACTGCGTTATGGCAAGCTACGTACTAGTCAAAAAAGGCGGGGGGGCTGTACATTGGGCAACGTGGTGAAGGGTTATGCAAAAATGGGAAGAGGACCGTAAAAAAGTGAATGCTAATGACGGGGGGGCGAGATATGGGCAAAGGTTAGGGGCAACTACGAAAAAATGGCAAAATTACGCGGAAATCACCAGGCACGGCCCATCAGGTTGCTCATGACAAGGGCGAGGTCGAGGCCGACGATGAAGCCGAGACTTCCGTTCGACAGCGCACCGACAGCGCCCGAAATCACAGTTGTCCGGTCGAGCCAGAGTTGTTGGTTGTCGAATCTGAAAAATAAAAATTTGATCGATAAAGTTGTCAAAGTACAACCCCTGAAAACTCCAAACGTTTTCATAGTGTTTTTAGCCGCTGCTAATCCTTAGAAACTGTATTAAGACTTTACCAGGTATCCAAAAGTATAATTTTTCCATCAATTAGGTCATTTTCACAAATTAACGATGGAAAATAACATTTTCTACTTTGGAATCACATACCAAGGGTTTTTATATTAAAAACAGCGTAAAATTCTATAAAAAAAAACCTAAATCTAAATATGCTGTCGGAAAAAGTTACTTTCCTCCCGGCTGAAAATTTGCTCCCTGCTAAACGGAAGCACAATGGCAATTAAATAATGCGCAAAATCGTCGCGATCTGTTAAAAAACACACCTCAACTTGTAGCATTTATCATACAGCGCCACGGTACTCATGTTTCGAATTGAGTACCACGTGATGCACGGGCCCAGCACGGCCCCGATCAGCGCGCCTAGAATCATAAAGTAAAACTATTTGCAAAATTTTATACCTTGCATTCCACCGGAAACGAATTGCGACTTCACGGTCCGCAGGTCGAATCGGCGTTCCGTGTTGGCGAAGAGCGCCGTTGAGAGCGGGCCCAGGATCGAGCCGAGCAGGGCGCCGGTCTAAAATGATAATAAAACGGTAACTAGAAACTAGTGTTTAGTAAAAAACTCTAAGAAACAGCTCTAACAAGGAGTGCCTTTTGGGTGTCATCGGCAAATTCCTTCGAGACCTAGCTCATTCGATAGAGAATTCGATTCTGAACAAAACCCCGTTGTTCTTTTTTGCAGAATGGCTATCCCTGATTTTATAAAATTAAAATACTAGTGACCGTCCTTACATGGTGCCCTTCGAGCCCAAAGAGGGCTGGGTCAGTCTTTTAAAATTTTATAAAATCAGGGATAGCCATTCTGCAAAAAAGAACAACGGGGTTTTGTTCAGAATCGAATTCTCTATCGAATGAGCTAGGTCTCGTAAGGTTTTGCCGATGACACCCAAAAGGCACTCCTTGTAAGCTCAAAAAGACTAATTTTCTACCTGAATACTGCGCAACGTCACATGGATGGAGAACTCGGCGCCGGGATGAGGGACCTAAAAAATCGAGATTTCCATCTACGATCGATTTATACCTTCAGCAGCTCAAAGTCAGTCACGGGCAGCCCGCAAAAGTTCTTGAACCAGTAGCTGCTCATCTAAATTACGTAATAGGAATTAGAAGCTCGCGACGAAGAAGCAAAGATAAATTGCCGAAATCGCAGGTGCTATTTTTACAAAGAGCTTTTGGCAGTTTTTGGCAGCAGTTTTTGGTTTTAACAGAATAAAAAGTACCAAATACGAAAAACTTTTTGCAATAGCCTAAAAACTTTACACCAAAAAACGCTTAAAGCTTTACAATTGCTTAAAAGCTCTACAAAAACGATAAATACACCAGCTCAAAAGCTCTACAAAAAAACGAAAAGCTCTTTAAAACTTCTCAATCTCTTCAAAACCATACAAACTTCTCGATAGACCGTTCATCCAGCCAAAAACTGAATCCAACGCTTTTCCACGCCTTGTTACAACAGGAATAATTTATTCTTCAAATGGGTTAGGGACACGAAAAGCTAACAACATCAGATCATGCGCATAAATGAGGCGAAGGGGATAGTGTGTGTGTGTGTATCTGTAAGTGTTTCAATATATATGTGTTGGCATCGTCAAAGTAGGGGCCTACTGCATATCAAGTGATAATTGGGGATTCGGTGATTCGGTGCTGTACAACGTTTTCTAGCAGTTCAAGAGATTCGCCAGCCATAATCAGACCTATGGAGCAACACACAAAAACTTCACACAAACTTTAAAGGCAATAGTGACTGGGTGGGCGGGGGCTTTTTGACATTTGTAAGGAGGGGAGGCAATGTGGGGGTACAAGTGAAACAACGGGGGGGTACAGTATAAGAAGAATGGGAAAAACTGGTGGAGGTCGGCAAATTAACTTTTGAGATCTTGTATCAACGGGGCGAAACAAGGGGTGGAATCGATGAAGTTGTGTGGCGGAGGGATCACGGCATCATTGTCGTGTCGCCGCTGGCGCCGCTTTGCTGAAAAAACAAACGTACGAACAATTTAATAAGTTTAAAAAGATAATTTCGCAATTTCGGGGACCACTTTTTCCTTCGGAACCAATTTTCCTAATATAAAACTGTTTCTTTCAAAAGTTTCAAACGTCGTTTAATATTCCTAAAAGCAAAACTTTACAAATTTTGTTAAAAAATAAAAAAATCTAAATAGCCAAAATATAAAAATACAATTTTCTTAAAACGATTAAAATACTTGCCACTTCATGGTCAGCAATATCTGGACGTAAAGAATAAACTGTGACCCCCCGATAATGCGAAAGCTCCAAAAACTCCAGTTTTTGGTTCAAAAACTCACCCGGAACTTGGTGAGGTCGAGGGTGAGCACGCCGGAGACGGTGCAATTCGCCGGTTGCGGGTAGATGCCGACGAGCGCGTCCGACTTGTTGTAGAACTCCTCCTTCAGCGAGATGACGATCAGCTGCATCTCCTTGCGCGCCGTCTCGCAGATGAACTGGGCTACCTGAAAATTTGATTTCAAGAAATTATGAAAATCCGAACCTTTCCAATGTTGGTGTTGTCGAGGGCGGCGTCAACCTCGTCGAGCACGAAGAACGGGGAGGGATTTCTGAAAAGGAGAGTTATTTGGATAGCCCCGGAAAATTATAAAATAGAAATCGGCTAATCAAAACAAGTTTAATTTGCTGCCAAAAAGAGAAAATTGAGGTTATTGGTATTATTTACATGCGAAAAAACTATCGAAAAATCCTTAAAAACGTATGAAATTTGCCAATTTTGTTCGAAAAATCGATAGTCTTCGTGTCCCAAAAATTTAGTTAAATTTAACTTATTTTCCCCTAAAAAAAAAAAAAAAAAAAAAAAAAAAAAAAAAAAAAAAAAAAACCTTTTAAAAAAAAAAAAACTAGAAAGTCAAAACTCCGAACCTGGCATGCATGGCGAACAGAAGCGCGAGCGCGGCCACCGTCTTCTCACCACCCGACAGATTGTCCATCGGCCGGAAGCGCTTGCCGGGAGCGACGCAGTTGTACTGGATGCCCTCGAGGTACGGCTCCTCCATGTTGTCGGCGCCGAGGAAGGCTTGCGCAGATTGGTTCCGGGAGAGCGACTAAAAAGAAAGAATCCTACTCATTTCCAGATGCTCTGCATACCTTGTAAATCTCGTCAATCTTCTGTGAAACCGGTTCAAAGCATTCCATGAATCGCCTGTAGCGCTCGGTCTTGACCTTCTCGAATTGGGTCCGGATCTAGGCGCATTTCAATTAAGGCAAAATTAAAATTCTCTACCTTCTTAGCTTTCCGCCGTGCCGACTCGAATTCGTTGGTCGTCTCCTGCTCCTTTTCTTTCACTTCTTCCATTCTAAAATCAAAATGAATTGAAAAAAAAAGAAAAAAGCGCACCGTTGATTGGCTTTCATATTTGGCGCAGCGAGTCGCCCGAGCATCGAGTGCAGGCTGGCCATCTCCTTCTCCAGCTGCTCCTTCGCCCGTCGAATCTTGTCCTCATCGTCCAGCTACAAAACATGAGCATGAAAATAAGCTATTATCGAAAATTTACCTTTCTCAATTCCGAGGGCAGATCCCGATAGTTGAGGTGGATCTTGGTCTCACGGTCCAGCTGCTCCTTCGAGACTTGCGAGGTGGTTGGCTGGGAGTCGTCTAGAAAGTAAGGTTTTCGTAAAAACAAAAAAAATACCCTCATCGTCGTCATCTTCGGCCTCAATGTCGGCAAGGGACCCCGAGGAGAGCGGCAGCCTGATCTGTTGAATTTTGGCGTTGTGGAGAAGTCGATGTCGTTCTTGCTGCCGTCGCTCCAGCTCGTTTTGAAGACCGGTTACCGCCTAAAAATATGAATTTGAAAGCATTTTTAAAAATAAATTTAATAGCGTCACTTTGCAACGAATAATAGCCAAAGAATATTTTTTGAAAAAAGCTATACCTTCTCGGCCTGTGTCACTTCTCGATGAACGGTAGAAGCCTCCTTCTTGGCGGCCTGAAGCTCAGCCTCGGCCTCCTCCAGCTCGGTCTTCCGTTCGAGCAGCTACAAAAAGCCATAGCTGATTTTGACCACAAAATCCCCACCTTGACCTTCATGTCCTCCAGCTCCTTTTCCAGCTTCTTCAGCACCTTCTCCTCTTTGTGCTCCCGTTTCTTCAGCGACTCCAGCTCGTTCTCGAGGCGACGGACCTGAATTGAAGGATTAAAAGGAAAACAAAAATTTTTGTACCTTGTCCTGCTCGGTCTTGAGGCGCTGGGACTTGTCCTCGCTTTTCAGGTACTCGAGCTCCTGCTGAACGCGGTCGATCTCGGCGTCAAACTTCTTCAGGGTGGATTGGCGTTCTTGTTGGAATCTGAAAAGCGGAAAAAATTGAAAATTTCTATAATAAATTCTCTATAATTTTTTAAAAGCCGTTAAGCTCCCCAACTCACCTCAACTCCTTCTCCTCGTAGACGCGGATGTGCGGGATCTTGAGCTGCTTGCAAAAGTCGGCGAACACCTCGTCGGCGACGGCGTTGCTCTTCTTCTCGAAGGCGGTCAGGTCCTTCTGGATGTCTTCGATGCGGCTCTCCAGCTCTTCGATTTTAGGCTAAATAAAAGGTAAACGAAGACAAAACGATAATTTACCGGAATCGCCTCTAGTTCGGCCTTCAGCACCTCGAGCTCCTGCTCCAGCTTGGCGGTGCCCTCCTGTCGCATTTGTTGCAGTTGCCGACTGCAGCCCTCGATCTTGCGCTCCAGGTTGCTGACGGTGCTCCTGGAAAATAAGAATACAAAGTTAAACTCCAATACAGAATAGAAAATTCCAATTTAAAAATTACCTTTATTGCAGCAAAACCCATGAAAAAATTGTAGAAAGTACTAACTGTAGAATTCTAAAACCAAACCTCTTAGCATCCACGTCCATCTCTTTCTTCTTCGTCCTGTTGAGCTCGATGATTTGCTCGTTCAGGCCCTGGCGACGATCTTTCAACTTTCTAAAAAAGTCGCAAACTAAAGCAAAAAATTAAAAATTACCGCATCGCGTTCTCGTCCCACTTCTTCGCCTTTTGCTTCAGATCCGCACCGCCGCCGGAGATAACGCCAGACTGCTGGAAGAGGGTGCCGTCGAGGGCGACGGCCTTGTAGCGCTCGCCGTGGCCGATGGCGCCGTACGCCAAGCTCTTCGCGTCCTCCGCGTTGTCGCAGATCAACGAGTTGCCGCAGGAATATTGCAGGGCCTTGCGCGCGGCCGGGTTTGCGCACTGAATAGAATCGAATTTAATTTTTAAAATGCAAAACAGTTTATATTTGAAATTTAGGGAATTAGAAGCTAATAATTATAAAAAGGTGAAATTTAGAGCGTACGTTGATGACATCGTAGACGAGCTTCACGCCGGCCGGCTGCTTGATCTCGCGCAGCTTCTCGTTGATCGGCTGGACGTCGAGGCTGTTTGATGGCAGGAAAGTTTCGGGCGGGTAACGTTGCTCCTAAAGACAAAAATTATGGATAAAAAATTTAAATTCTAATAATAATTCTAAATCTAAGTTTCAATTTACTTTAAAACTTGCATAAAAAGAGCTATTGAAATAAGTAAAACAGGATTACCTTCAAGTACTGAATAGCGTCCATGGCCGTGGCGTCGGTGTCGCAGACGATGGAATTCATGTGCTTGACGAGCACCTTGGTGACGGCCAGGTTGAAGCGCTTGTGCGAGGGCGTGCAGAGATCGACGAGACGGCCGTGGACCTAAAAAATTATTTAATTTCGATTAAAAAAATAAAACCTTGTCCGGGAAGACACGCTTCAGGTTGTCGACGGCCTCTTGGCGTCGCTTGTTCCGTTCGGTCTCTTGCGTGTCGCCGTGAGCATCGGACAGCTGGCGGCTCACCTCGGTCAGCTCGATGGTGAACTAAACCCTTTGTAAATCGCAATTTAATGAATTCTCACCTTTTCCAACTTTTCTCGGCTCTCCTTGACGGAGACCTCGGTCAGCCGCAGTTGCGCCTTCTCGTCCTTCAACGCCGAGATGAAGTTGGCCTTCGTTTCCTCGAGTACTTCCAACTAAAAGCAAAGTAATAAACGGCTTACTTTCAAAATGGCGTTGAATTATGCCAAATTTCACAATATTAAAAATTATGTCGAACTTTGTGGTGTAGAATGTGGCCGATTTCCCGCTAGATTTGTTCACGGAAAATTTCGGCATCTTCTAATCCCGACATAATGACATTTTGAATTTCGGCATTATCAAACTTCAACCTTCTGACCGAAAACAAAAACAGACGTTTTTCTCCTGTCGCGCAATCTCGTCCGTCTTCCGCTTCACCTTGCCCTCCCATTCGTGCAGTCGGCCCTGCTCGTATTTCAACGCCGAGCGTTCTGTCTCGAGCATCATCCTAGAAAACGTTTCTACCGTAATTTCCAATTTCCAACCTTTTTTCCATCAGCTTATGATCGTACTGGACGGCCTTCTTGACGCTCTCCGCCTTCAGCCGGCTGTACTCTTTTGTCTGAAAAAAAAACAAAATAACAGGCAATGTAGAACAACACACCTGTGACTCGCTGAGCTGGAGGTCCATTTCTTGCGACTGGCTGGCCATCTCGGCCTCGGCGTCCGCCTTCTCCTTCTGGAGCTCCTTGGCACGCTTCTTCAGTGCGCCCTCTTGCTCGGCGTAACTTTCGGCCATTTTCTAAAAAAAAGATTCATAACCGAAAATTTCAGTCAAATATACCTCAGCCGCATTTAGCGACCGGCTGGCGGCATCGAGCTTCTTCTGCAAGTGGATCTGCTCCTGCTTGGCTTGCACGAATCGAGGTCGTTGCTCAGTGACTTCGCGCTCCTAAAAAAATTTATAAAAATCAGCCATTCAAAATTTACCTTTTCGTTGGCCTCCTTGTCGAGCTTGTGATACTCGCGCGACGCCTTCTTCAGCGTCTTTTGCTTGGCCATCGACGCCTCCTCGTAGTTGCCGTACTTTTCCTTCAGCGACGCGACCTCCTTCTTTTTATCCTGCAGCTCCTCCTTGGCTTCCTCGCTCTGGCGCTCCACGTGGAACAGCTCGAACATGAAGAGGTGCTTCTGCTTCTCCTCGGCCTCGTCCTTCATCTGCTGGTACTTCTCGGCCTCGTCCTTCTCCATCTTGGCCTCCTTCTTCTCCTGGGCGATGCCGCGGCGCTTGTTCATGTTCAGCTGCGTATCCTCTTCGGCTTTCGTCAAGTCGTGCTAAAAAATTCGATTTTTAAAAATCACGGAAAAAAGTAGAACCTTCAGCTTGTCGTACTCTGACTGGAACTCGCAGGAGCGGGAGATTTCCTCGAAAAGTGCAGTCCGTTCCTTGGGATTCTTCATGGCGACTTGTTCGATTTGGCCTAAATAGGAATTTTGGTTTTCGCATTTTTTGCTTTGATAGAATCCAATTTTCAAATTTTTTCGCTAAAACCTACACAAAATATAGAACCAAATCAAATTTTTTAGAATTCTAAGGTTTGTTAGATAGTTTTTGCACTTCCAATCTATTAAATTTACTAAAATCTATTAAAATCCTTAATATTTCGCTACTAGGCATTCTGGGCTGATGGGAGAAAACCTTGATAAACCTTGCGACAGTTCCCTCACCTTGATAAACCAGGAAATTCTTGGCCTTGATGAAGATCTGGATCTTCTCCATCTCGGCGTTGTATTGCTGCGGCGTGACGACCTGATCATCGACCCGATACTCGCTGGACGAGCCGTGCACGGTGCGGCTGTACTTGCGCAGTTTGCCGTTATCATCTCTAGAACGCAAAAGTTGAGGAATCTTCATCAGTATTCTCACTTGTAGTTCATCGTCACCGTGCACTTGTTGGCGACCGGTCTGTTGACGGGGGCTCCATGAATCAGTTCCTGGAAAGAATCGAATTTCTATTAAAAAAAATTACCCCGAGCTTCCGCACGCGTAAATTGTTCGCCTTCTCGCCGAGCACGAAGCAGATGGCGTCCATCAAATTCGATTTGCCTAAGGCATATTTATTTGAAGGTTAAAGATTCGCTTACCGGATCCATTCGGTCCGATGATGGCGGTGAACTGGTAGAATGGCCCAATCACCTAAACAAACATTTCATTCCCAAAACCTTGAAAATTCGATACCTGGTGCCCCTTGTAGGACTTGAAATTCTCGAGCTCCAATGTTTGCAGCATCCCCATTTTGCTGGTGTTAAGGGCTGTGCATCAAAGTCGAGATCTAAAGCATAACAATAAGTGTTGGAATAGAGTGTAAAGGAAAGAATAAGGAAAACGAGAAGAGAAGCGCCATAAAATCGATTAAATAAAGGCTCCGTCAATGACTCCTGCGAGCCTAGGATCCTAGGCGTACTCCTAAACGAAGATTTCGAGCAAAGAACAGCAGCATGAAAAGCGTAGAACGTTAATGAAATAGCCATAAAATCGATTAAATAAGTTTCCGATTAAATTATGTCCCGGGAACCGGAAACGCCAAAATCGACGTTCCGGCACGTTCTAGCTGATCAAAGCCGCGTCACATCAACGTTTCCTACGTTTTTCACGAATCTACGAAATGAAAAACTTTACAATTGTCGATTGTAAGGAATTGATGAGGCGATTCAAACAAGCGCCGATCCATAGCTTCGCGCCCTAACCGTCTTTCTGCCTCTGCCTTTCGGGAGCATACTACCCGCGGGGCGCCCGATAAGTCGACTCCTGGCAACCCCAAAAATATTTGAACGCGCCGCCCCGGATGCATAACCAAAAATAACAGCAAAATTGACCGGATTTTCCCGATCAAGTCATTGGAACCTTTTAGTAAAATTTTAATAACGTTTTATTAACGTTTTGAACGCGCCGCCCGGATACCAAAGCCAAGAAAAAACCAAAACTCAACAATTCATTGAAACCGTTTTAATAAAGTTTTGGACGCGCGCTGGAAGCAGAAACACAACAGCAGAAAAATCGGCATTTGGAAAAACAAGGAATTTCGTCTCTCCCAGAGGCGGTGCGCGCTAAAAAAATGTAATTTGTAATGTGTTGTATCTTATTTTCCACCATAGTATAAAAAGTTAATGGCAGTTTTATATCTACGTCCGTACCTTATTTTATAGAAAAATAATCCCATTCTCTCTAGAAAACTTTTTCGAAATATCTGTTTGTCAAATTCAGATCGAACGCGGGTTATTTGGGCCATGCGATCGCCGTTAGCCCGGGCTAAGCAGCAGATGAACACAATTGTAAGTCACCTTTATCTGCTCAAATCTGGAATTTTTCAGCCAATAGTAGCCGACTTGAAACCATGCGTCGACCTGTCCCCGGGCCATCCATTTGACTGGAGCATCTACTTGGACGCGTTCGGCACCCAGCCAGCAATAGGAGACGATCTTTTTGTGCATCATAAAGTAGGCAAACTATCAATATATTCAATTAAGCTTTATAGTTCGCCGAGCAAACCCTTTTCGAGCTCTTATTCCGGCCAAATTTGAAGGTTTTTGTGCAAAGAGAAGGCGAGTGCAATCGACTGGCGACAGTTCTGGTAAGTTGAAACAATCTTTAGTTAAAAGAAAAGTCAACATCAACCTATTTCTCCCTTTTTAGCGCGCTTGTGCCGACGAAGTCGAAGTGTACTTCGATGGCGATAGGGAAAATTCCGAATTCGTCAGGGCTGAGCATCTACTGGAAGAGCCGCTGGCCAGCATTTTGATGTAAGTTCTGCACCGTCGATTTGATGATGATCCCAATTCAGGAAAGACGGGCCAGACTCGAAGCTCGTCAAATTCACGCGCAATGATGTGGCCGACTTCTTGAAGCCGGTCAAGGATTTCATCCACGTTGGCGGATTCTTTGAGGTGCAAGCCGAGTATGATCCGCTGTTGGTATTGCTAGTGCAGGTTAGTGAAGCGCTAGGTTGCGGAATAATTTTGATGTAGGTGATGAGCAACAAGTCCGGGCTGCTCGTCTACGGCGACGGTTCCAAGGCGTACGCTTGCGTGCATATTTACGACGAACGATGCCACGCCGTTGGTTGGGCAGAGAAGGGCTTGCAAACGGTAAATAAAAAAGTATTTCTAGAATTATTTTTTAATATAAATAAAAGGAGTGTTTCTAAGCCGTTTTTCACTATTTTCGGCCACAACATCGTGTAAAAATTTTTCTACCTTTAAAAAAAATTGTTTTTCCACTTAAAGTAGAATTCAATTTTAATCTGAAGACGAATCTATCAAAAGGAAACGTATATTTCAGAACCTCCGCTACCAAAAGCTGGTCCCACATTCACCGCTGGAAGTGCAAAAACGGGCGATCCCAGAGCGATTTTTTGAGCATCATCCGGTCCCGAGGCATGCTTACAGAGTAAGTAAAAAAGAAAATAAGCGCATTCACCATTTTTTTAGGAAGGCCAAATCGTAGAGGTCGTTGTCCCAGACCGAACCCCGAAATTCTGCCCCGGGTTCATCTCCAAAATCCTGAACGGCCACTACTTCTTGGTGAATGTATGCATGGAGGACATCAGAAAGGATTTTGAGGTGAGAACGGAATGAAAATCAACTACCTTTTGTAGACAGCTTATAAAATAAATTAAATTCAGATGCCAATGCACGTCGGCCACCCATTTCTGCTCTCAGCAAACTGGGCTCGAAACAACGGCTTGCCATTGACTCTGCCAGAAGACTTCAAAGTCGACTTCAACTATCCGGCATTCCAGAAGGAGCTCGAGTTGGATGTAGGTTTTCTTTTTGCCTTTGTTTTGTAGGATTAAACTTTTTTCTAAAGACATTTCTGGACTTAGAAAAAAGGAAAACTAAAAGATTGCCCTCCCCCCGATAATGCAAAATAACCATGAAATTGGAATACTAAATTCTCAATCAAATTTAGGAACCCATTGACGAGGAATCTCTTGTCCTGCCAAAACGTCGCCCTCCCGAACCGATGCGCCGCATGGAGGTCATCAACTTTGGCAAGCTGATCGCCGAGCCCGTCGTTATTATCAGGTTTGTAGAAAAAAAACTGAAAGAAGAAAAATTCTATTTTCAGAGCCGTCCGACACCTTGTCTGGGTGACGCTGGAAAATGCAAGGCCGGGCGAGGGTACCGAAATCTTTGGCGTCACGTAAAGAAAAAAATTACAACGTAAAAAATTTTTTTTAGCTCTTACAACCTCTACCCCTGCAACTTTGCTCAAAACAACGGAATTCGCATTGTCACCCCGCCGGTTTTCAAAGCGTTACCGGAATTGGAGGAGGGCCAGGTATGCTAATAAACCAAAACTTAAAAATTTAGTAATCTTTAGCTTGGTTATTAACTAAATTACAAATAAACTAATTTAGTATTCACGTTATTTAGATCCGTTTTCACAAGGATGTAATCTTCACCTCAAGGATACACAGCCCGTTTGCGCCATCAAATATGCCGTATCTACAAGAGCGCTATATCAAAGGTAGTCTATTAAATATAAAAATAGTTTTTTAAACAATTAGCAATTATAAAGGCGTATATTTTAGGTGATTACTACATTTCGACCGTTTTTGTCAACCCCAAATGCTACGCCGGTCCTTACTTGGATGAGAAACAAGTATCGCTGCTAAATCCGTGCTACGGTCCTGGTCCTCTGCATCGAGTTATCAGGCTTTTATTCAGGGTAAGCTGTAATTTACACGTTTTGATGCCCAAGAACAATTCAGGACTTGTTCGACTGCTTCCACAACATTGCCGATTTTTACAAGCTGTTCGAGTGGGCCGAGACGACCGAGCTGAAGACTTCTTACGCCAAGGTAAGCTGACTTTAACTATAGAAAGTATACGTCTAGACCCCTTTCGAGATTTTATAAAGCTATTTCAGAAAGAAAGACATCGCAACAAACACCTAAACGAGAGCCTCAGCCGTGTTTTGCATTTCCCGCGCTGCGAGACGGCGCGACACTTTTCTGGGTGGATCAGAGTAAGTTTTTCTCTATTTAGGGCAGATACGTTTAGATTTTTTAACAAATTTATTCTCAAAACAATAGAAAATTTGCTTGTAAAAGCTTTTTTCTCGTAAAAAAACCCCCTCAGAATTTGCAAAAAATACGCTTTGTAACTATCTACGCGCGGAAATCTGGCGTGTAAATATTTTGGTACTGGACTGTTAGCAGGGGGGGGTGGTTTAGCTAGGGAAAACTAATTTTCTGTCCGCCTATACCTACCTCGTAATCATAAATAGCGTCTTTTAAAAGGATTTTAGTGGTTTTTGATTGCTAAAAATTTGCTAAAAAAATAAATTGCAAATTTTTGGAAATTTAAAATTTTTGTTTTTCTTATATTTTTTATCAAAAAGTAGAAATTTTTGTAATTTCCATGTGTTTTATCTAAAAGTTGCTGATGCTATAAAAGTTGTCTATATTTTGATACAAGACCGTACAGGTTTAACGGCAAAAATTGAATTGCCCCGCTAACCCCCCCCCTCCCGCTAACAGTCCAGTGCCAAAAAAGTCTACGTCCAGTCCAGTCCAGTGCCGATCGTATAGTGAAAATTTCGGTATTCTGCCCCTTCTAGACGGTGCTCCGCGTGCTCCAAGCCTGCCCGCATCTAATCGCCCTCGAAAAGCTGGGCGACGGCTGCGAGCTCGGCTGCAAATATGTTGACAAGCAAAAGTTGCTGGTGAGAAATCGAGACAGACAGCGATAAATCATAATCCCAGGCGCTCAGCAATCTCGCAACGCCCCGACCGGAACCGGGTCAACCCAGAGAGCCACTCACAAGGGCACAGGTCCGTTATTTTTTTTTGCTAAATAAAGACGTCCCCGAACGTGGGAATCCTGCTCTTTTTTTGCAGGCAGACACTTTTTCTGGAACGCCTTTTCCCCCGGGAATTCTGTCTGGCTATTTTTATTTAAGGCCGTGCGCGCCGTATCGTATTAAAAAAAACAAACCATTTTATTAGCACTTAACGCCCGTTTTAGATGTAAAAATTGCTCGAATTTTCGAAAGTATTCTTTTTGGACAATATTTATGAAAACTTCGTCATTATGTCTTTTTTCGCAATTCAACTTCAAAAAATGTTTTTATAGGATTTTATTATACCTAATTTTTCCTACGTCCCCATATTTCACCTATTATGTAATATAAAACTTTTTAATAGCATAGAAAACAAAATAAAATAGCCGCTGTAAACATAAAAAGTTTAGAAACTTGCTCAGCATCGCAAATTTTTGCTTTTCGTTCAAAAATTATTTCCATTTTTCTTGTAAAAAAATGGTTTTATAAAGTTTATCACTAAAAACTGTAAAACTATGTTATTTCTTAGAAGCTCGACTGAATAAACTACCATTGTCCCCCCCCGCTAACGAACCAGAACCACAAAAACAACGTTTTTTTAGGCTATGGAGCGAAAGGAGGTGAAGCGGACAAGCTCGAAGAAGGCGTTGACAAAGAAGGAATCGGTAAGTCTACCTCTAAAAAATATAGTAAAAAAGGGAATAGAAAACTACTGTTAATTTTTTTTAGTAGTTCCAGATTGCTAAAGAGTTATAAAAGGTTTTTTATTAAAAATCCCGACATTTTGGCCATTCTTCATAAATTTTTGAACAAAAAACCCAAAATTTTGTAGAAATTCAATAACTTCTAAAAAAATTAAATTTCTAGCCACCCGATGTTCCGACCAAAAAACCCCGATCCCTCCGCAGCAGCGATCAAACGAAAAATGGCGTCAAAGTAAGTCGCGCAACTTAAAAACTACCGAGATTATCGACAACTTTAAGCTTGTGTTTTGACGCCCTAAAAACTGGTATCCACACAAATACACTCTTCTCGCTCTCACGTAAAACCATCTACCACCCACAGAATCTCCTATATATTTATTGTTTTTGTATATTTTGTATATCCCACGCTGTCTATACCTTGATATCCCCGATTTCATGCATGCGGTGGGGCTGTCTCTACTTTCCAAAGCACTACGGAATTCAGGAGGAGTTGCTGGAGGAAGAGCCACCATTGACGACGTATGTCTACAAGTCTGATGGCTCGTCCTCCTCCTCGAACGATCGCGTTACGCCCGATGAGGTGGTGACCACGGTCAAGCAAGCCGAAACGGTAATTAATTTAAGGGAACTTTTGCATAACCAGGGCGACCAATTTTTTTCACGAGCTGGTTGTAACGTAAAAAAAAGTAAAAAATTCGAAAATTCCCATCCAGAATGCAACAAATACTGGCTTTTTGAACAATTAGGCATCTTTAGCTGATTTTGTACTTAAAATGTTATTTTATCAAAAACGCTAGTAAACTACTGATTATTACGTTAAGAGGCATTTCTGGATTAATAGGGAAAAAAATAGCGCTTGCCTAGTCTAAAAAGTCGCTACAAATCGTAAAAGAAAATTGTTTTAGACGTTTCTGTTCACGAAAAACTTCTACAAAACATTTCAAAAATTATAAAACTTCACAATTTATCGTTTTCTCTTTATCATGTTAAAATTTAGGAAGTTCTTAATTTTTGACGGGTCAGGAAAAAAAATAGCTTTTCCCAGTCCCAGGCCAAGTGTCCAGAATTCTGAAAATACAAAAAATTATCCCAAAAAATTTCAGCAACCCTCCACCTCCAACGACAAACCTAAACCCACTACCGCGGTCCCAACTGGGCTTTCGGTAAGTTCCGAAAAAATAACAAAAAAGCTCTGATTCAGTTCCCGCCCACAAACCCGGCCACGTGGAATGAAGACGACTTATCGGGCTACTTTAAAGCCCGCGAAAACAGCGGCTTCATCGTCGAATTTCTCACCAAGCATGTAAGTCATCAAAAGAATCTTGGATCAATTTTCTAGAACATGGGCGGAGCCGCTTTTATGGCTCTTACAATTGACAACATCAGAGGATTCGGATACGTTCTCGGGCCCGCCCTCAAAATTCATGATGCCGTTACGGTAGGCTTCAGATTACGAGCTTCACTTATTGCTTTAGCATCTCGTCACCGCGCAAAAATACTTCGAACCCAATAACTGATCTCTACCACAAAAACGATGATGCTCTCTTTCCAGTGATATGGGTATCGCGCCTAATAAATTATTCTTCCAGATTCATACCCAAGATTTTCAAAGTGTAGAATCTGGTAAAATCGTTATCATGATAAAAGACAAGCTTTATTCACCTTCTCACACTAGTAGAAATCTAAAATGACACACAAACACAATCAACGCTATAAGGTTTCGTTTTAAAGTGAAGTAGACGGGCGTGGTTGTGGGGGCGGCTTCTTATTTCGGGCCCAGCATGTTTTCCGGCTTCACCCAGTCCTTGAACTGCTCCTCGGTGAGGTAACCTGAAAAGACGAGATTTGCAGAAAAATGATACCATGACTAACCCAATTTGATGGCCTCCTCCTTCAGCGTGGTTCCGTTCTTGTGCGCCGTCTTGGCGATCTTGGCGGCCTTGTCGTAGCCGATGTGCGGGTTGAGGGCTGTGACCAACATCAGGGACTCGCGCATGATCTAAAAAAATTGAATGATGACTTTTCTTTTCGCAAATTAGATTTTTACTAGTGTTTTTTACATCGATAAAATCTTTACAATTTTTTTATTAAAACAAGACAAAAATATCGATTTTTCAACAAAAATTACAAATTTTTAGACATTTTTTGCAGGTTTTCTAAAGAGGTTTCCCACTCGAAATGAAAAATTTTATAAAAGTTATGGTGTCTATGACAGTAAAAAATATTTTAGAAACAGAAACAAAGCTACCGAAAAAAACCTGTGCGAAAAAAATCTTTTACCTTGGCAATGTTGTCGCGATTAGCCTCAATGCCCTTGACGCAGTGGTCGGTGAACGAGACGGCCGAGTCGGCGAGCAACCGCGTTGACTGGAGCACGTTTCGCACGATCAACGGCTTGAAGACGTTCAGCTCGAAATGGCCGTTCGAGCAGCCGACCGAGACGGCAACCTAAAAAATGTTTCATTTTTCAAAAAAGTGGCTTGCCTGATTTCCCATCACCTGGGCGGCGACCATGGTCATGGCCTCGCACTGTGTGGGGTTGACCTTCCCGGGCATGATCGAGCTTCCGGGCTCGTTCTCGGGCAACGAGAGCTCGCCGAGGCCACACCGGGGTCCCGACCCGAGGAATCGAATGTCGTTGGCGATCTTCATGTACGTCACGGCGAGCACGTTCAGGGCACCGTGGACCTAAATATAGTCTTACATAAGTTTTTTTGGAAAATAGTACCTCAGCAAGGGCATCGTGGGCGGCGAGCGCCTCGAATTTGTTGGGGGCGGTGACGAATGGTAGGCCGGTGAGCTCGGAAACTTTTCTGAAAAAAAACACATTTTTTTTGAAGGTAATCTACAAAGAGGTAATTTTCGAACAGATTAGCGCACGAAAAATTTTACAAAAATTATTTTCAAAAATACAAAAATGCAAAATTTTTTTTGAAAAAAATGGAGAAAGAAGAGCTTGAACCAACCCGGCCACTTTCTCGGCAAATCCCTTTCGCGTGTTGAGGCCAGTGCCGACGGCCGTTCCTCCAGCGGCCAGCTCGTACAGGCGGGGAAGGGTGGCCTTCACGCGAGCGAGACCGTTGTCGAGCTGAAAAAAAACGTATAGAAAAAAATTAGACGCGTAAAATGGCAATAAAACTATTTTTTTTGTCAAGTCTCGATGCTAAAGTAGACGCAATTCCATTAATTTCCAGGCTATCAAAAAATAACCTGCGTAACGTAGGCGGAGAATTCCTGGCCGAGCGTCAACGGCACGGCGTCCTGGGTGTGCGTACGGCCAATCTGAAAAATACACATTAAAAAGCTGTTAATAAACTCAAAACCTTGATGATATCGCTGAACTCCTGGGCCTTGGCGTGCATGGCGTCGCGGAACTGGGTGAGGGCGGGCAGCAGACGGGAGTTGATCTAAAAAAACGTAAAAATCTAAGAAATTCAGGCAAACCTCTCTCGCTACGGCGATGTGCATGGCTGTGGGGAAAGTGTCGTTGCTGCTCTGCGACATGTTGACGTGGTCGTTCGGGTGGACGGGCGTCTTCGAGCCGAGCTCTCCGCCGAGGATCTCGATGGCGCGGTTGGAGATGACCTAAACCAGAGAAGACTCAAACCAAAAGGGGTTAGCGGGCTGCGCCCGCTAACCCCGAATAAGCTTTATTTGCAATAAAAAGGAGGTTTTTAGGTGAATTAACTGATTCCATAAAAAATAAAAATTCTCAACAATCTTCTAAAGTTCATATTTTGTCAGAAATGAGCAACATTTCGATTCTCTCCAAGCTCGTTATCGTAGCGTTTTGACATCATTAAATTTTCGATAAAATCACCTCATTGACGTTCATGTTGGACTGCGTGCCGGAGCCGGTCTGCCAGGTCATCAGCGGGAAGTGCTCGTCCAGCTTTCCGGCAACAACCTCATCTAAAGCAGAATTTTTCAAAGCAAAAGAAATCCTACCGGCCGCTTGGGAGATGGCGTCGACGAGCTTCTTGTCAAGCCCGTACTCCTGGTTGACGAGGGCCGCCGACTTCTTGAGGATGCCGAACGCGTGGACGACGGGCAACGGCATGCGTTCTTCGGGGCCTCCGATCTTGAAGTTGATCATCGACCTAGAAATTGAAGTTGAAAAACATGGTCAATTTTACACTGTATGCCTGTAGATCTCGCAAATAAACATCTTATTTATTTTACCCTCTTTTCAGTACTCAAAATGCCGAAAATTTCCAGAAATTTCCGGAAATCGATTTTCGCGACTGATTTCCAGATACTTATCGTTAATCCAATTTTACCTAGCCGTTTGTGCTCCATAGTAGCGGTCGGACGGCACCTTCAGCTCTCCGAAAGTATCGCGCTCGACACGGTGTCCTCCGGCAAACATGCTGAAAAAAAATTAACATTTCGTTGTTGCCCCCGAGGACTAGAAAATTCTAGTTAAAAAAAAGCTTGAAAAGCAGAGTGCCAGCGAGTTCGACCTTGGCAACGGGGGGTTGGGCCCAAAAAGCGGCGGTCAATATTGATCATCCGGTTGAGTGAACCCGGCCCGAAAATTGGCAAGGCTCTAGTTCGCGGAAAAAAGCAGTTAGTTCGGAAAAAAGGGATATTTTTCAACGAATAGCCGGAATTACGTTGGGTAAATAACTAAGTTACGTCCAAATCATGCAAAATAAGCTCCAATTTTGCGAGAAACCAGAAACAAAAACCCAGAAATTGCGGAGAAAATACCTTGACGATATCTGGAAGAGCCGACTCTGGAAGTTGGCTGGAGCGGCAAATCGGCTGAGCATCACCGACCAGAAGAGGCAACCTCGGAGGGGTCCTGAAAATGGAATAGAGTGCCGAGGGAACGGCCGTAATAGCGAGAACGCAGAGAAAATCGGGGGTGGCCCCAGTGAAAAGCGCGGTCTTGACCCCGGCCGGCTGGCGGGTGTAAATTGAACACACGGGCTCCGCAAAAACGAGATAACCAGGAAGAGGATCTAACAAGAAGAGAAAGAATCCGCCAAGAAAATAAGAAAAAAAAATCGAAAATAGACATCGTTTTTACAGAGTTTCAGCTTCTAAACTTTCGGCCAGGCCAGCTTGAAAAAAAGATACGAGAAAACTCTCGTTTTAGAAGTAAGCAGGCAAGCAAAACTAAAACGTAGAAACCAGATATAACTTAACAAAGTTGCCGTTCGCTTTTAAGTTAGAAGCTCTAACCGCCAGGCTGGCATTAACCTTGCAGGAGAAGCTTGAAAAAGGGACTAAATAATGGGAAAGGAAAGGCTTTTTGGAACCAAAAAACTAAAAAAACCGTAGAGAGTATAAAGAATTAAATTTTTCGCGGGAGAATTTTTAGAAGAATTAAAAAGTAGAAACTAGGAATTAATTGACGGCACACCAGCTTCGAAACTTCCGGGCCAGCAGTTTTCGGTACAAAACTTGAAGAAGAAGCTTGAAAAAGCAAAAAAACTCCACTAGAAACTAGGCTTGTTTTGCAAACTTTCATCTCTCAATCTTCCGGGTACACTCTAGCAGGTTGCCGCACGAAGTTTCAAGGAGAAGCGTAAACAAGCAAAAACATAGCTATAAGGGAAGACAATTGTTAAAGAAAGACTTATTTTAGAAAAAGACTTATTTTAGAAGCAAGACACGAAAATAAAAAAGTTTAGAAAGTTTGTCGAAATTTTGGAAATGCTGCGACGAGACGCTACTCTAGACGGTTGAACGTAAGGAACGAGCGAATTTCCCCCAGGATTTTCGTTTTTCTCACACGCGTTATACTACTTTTTAGTGGTTTTTATACAAAAACACTAACGTTTTTGTATGTTTTTAGAACCCGCTTCTCCGAATGGCCGGCGGTTCATCGCGCAAGTCGCGCAAACGGGCCCCCGGCTCGCCGGTGCTCGCCCAGGCCAAGATCAAGCTCCCAAAACTGCTGCTCAAGGCGGACGCAAGTGGAAAGGTTGTGGTGTATTTTGCTCGTTGACTATGGTTTTCATTTAGATTTCGGTGACGCGGATAAACGATCCGCCGACAGAGGAACGGACGCGTGACCAGTCCAGCAAAAACACACCTTCCGGAAGTTCTGACAAGAAGCCGAAGAAAGAAAATCAGTCGAAGAAGGAAAATCATTCTTCGGGCGTGAAAGCTAGTGTATAGTTATTTCTGTAATCTGAATCTGTTTTTTTAGATATCGACCACTTCTACTACCGCAATCGCCTCGGGAGCTGACCTCGTAGAAGGGCCTGAGAAACAAAAGAAGCCCAAGAAACCGTCGTCGGCGGCTGAAAAGTTGATTGTCAGTTTTTTAGTAGCTCGGTATAATGCTTTTTAGACACCGCTCGCTTCTACCAGCCGCAACGGACACGTGAAGGGCGAGGAGAGATCGGAGAAGAGAAAGAGTGACAAGAAGTCGTTGGAAATAAACGAAAAAGTGCGCGTGGAAGAAGAAAGTTTCATTGTTAGTTGACGTTGTAATTTTTGTAAACTTGATATAGGCCTTGTCCGCTTCTACAAGTCACATCTCCGCCGAGCTCAAGCCGAATGACAGCCCGCCGAAGGAACGACCCGCCCAGACGGCGCGCAGCGCGCAGATGTCGGCTAGGAGGAAACAATTGCGCGAGCAGGTATCTAGTTCTTTTCTTCAAAAGTCGTTGCTAGATCTGGATTGGGCCTTTCGTGTTCCCACACAATTTAGATACCTTTTTCACCGTTAGAAAGTTTATAGAAATAATAGTTTTTGCGAAAATCATTGATTTTTTAATCCAAGAGTTCTGCACATAAGCAAAAATTCCGATTTCGAGGAAACAATTGGCACATTTTTAGGATTTGGTCATTTTGCCAAATCGAAAACTACTAAAAAGCTATAAATAATTTCCTGTTTTAGAAGAAGGCCGAACAGCTTGCGAGCGAAAAGCTGAAGGCCGAACAGCTTGCCAACGAACAGCTGAAGGCCGAGCTTGCCGACGCGGTGTTGCTCCCTCCCCCGCCGCCACCACCAATTTTGGAGCCGGTTGAAGGCCAAAAACTCGCACCCGATGCCTCTTCGCCGATCGCCCCCAGCAGATCTCAGGAGATCGGGACGGCCACCGCCAAGTTGGACGCGATGCAAGCGTACGCTTCTACGGATGACGAGCACTACTACACGCCGACCACAGCGATCACCGCTTCTCACGACGACTCCACGCCGACCGTGCATCCGGCGGGGACGGACAGCTTATCTACGCCCATTTCGCCGCTCAACACCGATGCTTTCTTTACGCCTGGGACCACAGGATATATCGGCCCGGTGTTTAAATTCACCGCGGCTCGGAAGCAAGGAGAAGCGAATGGGGTATGAATTTGTTGCTATTCATATGCTTATGCATATTTTTGTTCATTTTCTAGCTTTTCCAAAAGGGGAGGCCGGTTTTTTTTGCAGTATTTTATTGTTTTGATGAGATCTAGCTAGATTTCAAAGGAAAAAGCCTTTTAGAAGACTTCGAAAGTCATTAAAACATTTCTATCAGTTGTTTGGCAAAAAAAATCGATATGTATTGTTTTTTTAGCTTGTCAAAAGAGGATACATCTAACGGAATAGGAGTATTTTGGTGTTCTTCGTAATATTTAGCTATATAAGAGAAAAGGTTAACATGTCCTCAAAAATTTCAATTTTTGCGTGAAATTCGGCCATTTTGCGACGGAAAATCGGCCTTCTGTAGTGTTTTAAGCCAAAATTTTAAAGCGTTCAGGCTTAGGTTTAGCACTAAACTAGAAATATTGGCTCAGAGGGCTAATCGCCGTGCTAATACGAAAACAAGCTATTATTACAACGCTACTTTAGGTCGCGCAGGGTGCAAAACCGCCATTCACCAAGGACTCGACGTTGAACGGGGGCTCTGCCACAAGGACGCCTTCCGTTACAATTATCGCAGACCTGAGAAAGGATCTTCACAAAAGGAAACTCGTATGATGGATGCGTATTTCAAGGAATAATTATTTTTTAGGATTCAGCAAAGTCGACGGTCAACAAGGGCGCGGACGCTTCTACGCCGCTTGCGCGGGTCACGACAAAGCCAGCCAGATCCGAGATTGATCTGGCGAAGTCTGGCAGGTCGGCCTTGGACGTGGCTCGGCAAAAACTTCATGCGGACCGCTTGAAGGTAAACTAATTAACTTCGGTACTGGACTGTGGGATTTGGCCCATTTTTATAGTCTTTTACTAGTTTTTGATTTCTAACAAATCAGAAAGAAGTAAAATGGTGAGAAATAAAATCTTAGGGGGATTTTAAAAAGTTTAATTTTATGGTAATTTTTCATAGATATTTTTCGCAAACTTGTTTGTGCTTTTTCTATTCTAAAACTGTGTAAGTAGCTATAGAAATGAATTTCGTTATATGGCCTTACCAGATTAATCTTGGCTTCCGCTGCTAACCCCCCCTCCCCCGCTAAGAGCCCAATACCTCAACTTCTACAACAAGCGAATTTTTAGAAACCTAACACCGACTTGTCGATCCCGAAGCCTACCCCGCCGCAACGACATGGTATACATCGGATTTTCTCCGATTATACGTTCTACTAGGTCACTCGGTGCTCGACATGCTGCTGCCCGATCCGGAGGACGAGGCGAAGAAGAAGGAGCGAAAAGAGGCAAGAAGAGCGTGGTTTATTTTGAATATATTCTGTTTAGCTGGCTGAAAAGCGTGCCGAGCTGGAGCGGCAAAAGGCCCTGGAGGCGAAGAAGCTCAAGGAGCAAGAGAGCCGCGCGACGGCGGAGAGGATGCGCGAGGCGACGAAGATCGAGGTCTGTCGAGTAGTTATATGGAAGTGCTTTTCTGTTAGCAGGGGGCGGGGGGGCTATTCTTCGGTAGGCATGAAGTAGTCTGATAAGTAAAAACGTTAATGATTTTACCTGGGTCATTCAAAATGCTTGTTTTGTAATTTTCTTGGAAATTTCTTTTCTTAGTTTTTAGCTATGAAGATTGCCAAAATACTAAAAAAATAAATTCGCAGGGTACTCTTCGCTTTTCAATGATTTTTCTAGATAGAAAAGATGCGGCTGAGCGATCGTCGGAAGCGCGACACGCATCCGGTCTTCCAAGAATCGTGCTTCTACGACGCGTGCGACATCGTCGACGCCTGCGCCAAGCTGTGGGGCGACGCCATTCCGAGCGAATGGCTCGAAGGCCATGAAGATTACGAAGAATCCGTGGACTCGGGCGACGAAAATAATAAGCAATAATAATAAAGTAATAATAAAGTAATAACCATGACCGGAATCGTGGGCTGAGCCGACGTTGTCATATTTCATTTTTGCCCTCATGCCCCGCATCCGCCCCCAATTGTTGTCCATCGCATGTTGGCTGTTTACTAGGATTAGATTAGAAAAATTGTTGCATGGGTGTTTAGCTTGATATACCTAGGTTCTTAATCTATTTACTTGGCTTGTTTTCGTTCTCGCGCTTTGCTGGTTGATAAATTTTGTATTTGCGCTTTTGGATAGGGCGGAGCGGGATTTCAGCAAGAGCTGGCTGTAATTTTTTAGTAATTTGAAGTGAATTCCATCCGTGACCTCCTAAAATATCCGGAAGTTTGGTTGATTTCGAATCTGTTCCCAGGCTTACGGAGCGGCTTAATTTTACGAAAATTACCTCTAACAAGTTTCTGAAATACTTTTGGGGTACTCCGAGATGCATTTTCGAACGCGCATTCGCAAACGCATGACCATGAACCTATAGCCAAAAATTTTTGCGTCAACTTTTTAATTTCCTTGCAATCCAACCCACTTTTAGAGAAAGTTTTGCATAGATTTCGAGGGACATTCGCACATTCGCATTCAACAGTTCGTGAGGTGGCGCCCTCGCAAAAGCATCTTTTTTTGCTACATTAGCTCGTCGATCGTTGCTAAAAAGTATTCCATGCTATTTTTAACAATACCTAAAACCAGGAATTGCGGGAGTATTTGGGACAAAAACCGTTTGCGCGCGCCTCGCAAAATTCAAAAAACTGATGCGCAATCGGTGAAAAATTTTCTACGCTTGATAAGGTCGGTTAAGAATGGAGTGTTTTTGTCCCAGTGGGTGCCCCACTTCTTTCAATTTTTTTAAGGTTTTATTAGAGGGGTCTAAACCCGTCTATCTGGGACCAATTGAGAACAACATACCGTTTTCAGCCTAGATCAAGACACATAACTCTGTGGCATTCTTCAGAGATCGTTGAGCAACTGTGCGAGTGGATAAGGGAAAGCCGCGCCGCGCTGTTACCTGATTGGCCCGCGGGGACCGGTCAACCCTTCCGCCCGCTGGTAGACAATGGATGGGGTGATGAAGCCCGTTAGCGGCTGTTAGGTAGCGTATATCCTCAGATTCGATTAACCTGCAGTAACGGTATAAATAATAGCCCGAGGGTGGTAGCAAGCATCTGGCTGTGTTTTGGTGCTTGCATTACAATCGCAAGCTTTACTTTTCTGGCAGTTATCGTGATTTTCGATCTTTTTGGGGTTCTAGTGCGTTATCGTGGGGGGATCAATTCCTTTATTTAGGCTGCCTTCGATTGTATGAAAAGTAGGCTATTTTAAAGTGTTTCAGCGGCTTCATATTGTAAAATACTTTGAAAAAAAAACATTTTGTGGAAATTTGGCCCAACAGTCTGAATGTTTTGATTAGAGAATTTTGATAATAGCCCTACTTTTGTGCTATTACTACCGTTATATACTTTTTATTCTCAGACTTTTCCTCGACCTTCCGCTCGCCATGAAGTCGTTCGTCGCTTTCTGCCTCTTCGTCGAAGTCGCCTATGCTTGCATCGCCATCCCGCCGCTGCCCGGCGCGGCCCCGCCACCCCCACCGCCTCCACCACCGGCGCCTTGCTGCTGTAAATTCATAATCTATATTTTATTAATATTTAAAGGATTTAGGGGTTTTCAATAGGTTTTTTTGAAGCCGGGAATATAGTGGAAATTTTTGCGCGGCATTTTTGTCTTTCATAGAAAGTCAGCTAGCTTCTGTCAAGGAAAAATATCGATTTTTCCGATATTCTAAATCTGGCCTAAAAAGCCGCAATTTAAGAAAAAAAAGCTATAAAAAGCATGGTTTGTACTTTTAGTTTAGAATTGGACCCGTTTTTCAAATCAGCGCTTACGTTGGTCTTTTTTGTCCGCTTTGAGCGATTTTCTTCAAAATATGGCGTAAAGGGAATTTAAATGGAAGCATAAATATTTAACAAAAAGTATTTCAAACACTTTAGCACCTAGAAAACCTTTTTACAGGCGCAGCCGCGGCCCCAGCTTGTGCTCCTCCGCCACCACCGTGCGGTAAGTGCCACTAAAACGTGACTGGAAATGCACCATTTGCAGTTTAACAGAAAATTGATCCTGAAGTATCGCATAAAATCGCTTTAAAAAGCTTTAGGTTGCGGCTGCGGCGGGCGCAAGAAGAGGTCGATCCTGGAGAGCGAGCAGCCGACGACGCTGAGCCTTGATGAGGTGGCGCTGGTCGCGTCGACGGAAGACCAGCTGTGCAACTCGCTGACTTTGAAGAAGATCTTGAAGGAGGTAAGGCAGGTTCGAACATACCTTGCAACGAAAATTGCTATGAAATTGACCAGAAAGCATAGACAACGGAAATAGGCCGGGTTTTAGAACATGAGCAACTCGCCGAGCTTCTCGAAGGTAGCCATCTCGAACATCCTGGCCGATCGGAACACCACTTTCTCGGTGAGTTCAGGAAAAAAACACTAATTTTACTTTAGTTGATTCTAATAGCCTTTTTAATCCTAACCTGATGTATAAATTAACAATTTCCAGGTGATTTGCGGAGCCGGCGAGCTGGAATTTGCGATCGGCCACGCCTTCGACCACTGCTCGCTGTCGCAAGACGGCGTCGCCTGCCAAATCTTTACCGAATAATTTACCTGTTTATCTTAATGCAATTTCATTAGTTTATTAGTAAGTTATGTTTTTGCTTGACATCTTCACACACCCCAATTCCCCACGATAGCCATGTATGCCTTTTGCCTAAGGAAATAAACGTAACGTACAATTTAAGTAATACAAGCTTTTAAGGTCAACAAGTTGTGGTGTCTGTTTACTAGAAGAAATAGTCTGGAATTTCCACCGGCCCTCTAATTCCGCTCTTCAAAGGCCGGCCCGATTCGGGGACAGCGTCTAGCCGAGCTGTCCATTGAATTTTAATAGCTGCGGGGCGCTAAAAATGGAACGTCCTTTGAGATATCAAGGTATCACGGCGCGTAAAGTGGACTGTAGCGGAAAAATATTAATAGAACTGGCTTCTAAAACCTCTGAAATTAATTAAAAAAATAGGATTTCAAACCCATGTTCCCGTATTTATTTTACTAGCAAAACGGAACGACGCAGCCGCGACATGTCTACTTCCAGTACCCTGCTTAAAATTACGGTTAATGGGGGAGTTAATGTATCTTTTCGCGTGAATTACCAGAAGCTCGTGGCTCAAAAATTCCCGGCGGATCAAAAAGTTCTCACCGCGTTGTCTCTCAAAATATTCCCGGGCTCCCCCCGAAGAAATCGTAAAATTCGGAGGGCCGAGTCGTGAAAATCAGCGGCGGCAGCGCCGCTTTGATTTTGCACCCAACATGGCCCCGTAATCGCGTGACGCACCCAGAGGGGCAGCATCAACCAGGTTCAGCGTCAGATTGATGCAAAATTGAAAAAAATGTGGCCCCTATGGAATCTTGGACGCGCGAATCTTTGACCGACGCACGCTTAATCACGCACAGGCACACACAATCACGCTTAAAATTAACAAAAACATTTTTCTATAAAACTTTGAGAAAACGAGCTCGTAAGGGAGCATGGATCGTACCAGGATCGCCTCCCCCCCCGCCCCCTAAATAGCCTAAACCTCGACAGCTATGCGACACGCCACTACATGCGTGTAGGCGCGTTTAAATTTTACGCAATTTTCGACTTCCTAGGGTTATCTAAATGGAGATCAAGCGTCGTCGAAAGGAGACCGCGTAGCTGTCGAGTTCAGGGGTTATTTCTCGCACTGTCTAGGCCCTTTAAAGGGACAGTGACAGTAGCGCAATTTGATGAATTCCAGATTCGGAACGGCAATGACTAAATGGACCTCCGTTTTTGCGCATTGTAGAGGATATTTTCTGAACGCTCGTGTATGGAGTATCGTTAAAGTGATTTCTGGACACTTGGCCTGGATTCATTTGGACCAAAACCTGTTTCGGCTAAACCCCTTTCACGAAATTATGGAAAGCTAAGGCTTTGAATACTTTGAAATACTGAAAAGTTGAAATTCCGGATCAATTTAAGCCAAGACGCGTAAAGCAACTATTTAGCTGAAGTGGGTCTCAGCCGTAATCCATTTAGACAAAACGGGGTTCAGCTTCACGATCCATTACCAATTCCCCTACCTATCCTGTACCCCAAATCGCTAAAAATTTTTGAGAGGTGTGTGATTCGTGGCGTTGCTGCGTAGGGTTTGTGGGGATTTACGAGTTTTGATAGGGATTCGGCCTGGTGAGATTCGAGGCCCCAGCCAAAACGGCGCAATTTATAATGCCCTTGACACTTTTTGTGTGCGAAATTCGAGCTGGGGCTGGGGTGATAAGCCTCTCGTTTTGACGCCTTGGGCCTATGGTATTTTTTCAGTGAATTTTTCCGCTGATCGAAAGAAACTTAGGAGCGAATTCTGTTATTTAAAATATTAAGCTTGGTAGATTCAATTCAGGCTTTAATAGCTTCTATTACTCGATTGAACACGTCTTTCATTTTTCATAAATATTTTTCATTTTCCTTTTTCACTTTTTGGCTGCTATCGATTTCTAAGCTTTAATTTACCACTTTTCATCTAGCCTGAACTACGGGGATTTTTCTCTTATTCTATATTTTTTAAACGACTTTTCGTAGATTTTGCCGGTATTTTTAGAGCTTTCTTCAGGTGGCGGCGGCTCGTTATTTCGACATTTTTGCGCCCGATTCATTCTGATATCAAAATTGGTCTAAATTTGCCTAATTTGCGAATGCGATGACGGTCAGCTACAACCACCAAGTGGCCACCTCGAAGCCCTACTTAATTCTGAAGCTTTTGGGCAGGTAACTCCGCATTTTTATAGGGTTCGGACGCCCAGAAATAATGGTTTGGCGATGCATAAAAAATCTACTTTTTAATAGTTTACATGGTCACTTCCAGATGGAAAGGTTCCGTTTGGAAAGCCGTCTCGGTCGAGCTTGGCATTTGGCTAGTTCTGTACTACACAATTTTCTGCGTTTATCGCTATGCTTTTGGGCGTAGCGCACAACAGTAAGTTTAGTGTAATTGGCACAGCAGTATAATTAACCTGATTTAAATGAACGTGAATTTTCAGAAGATTCGAAGACTTTATCCGCTTCTTCGATGCCTCGATGAAATATATTCCCCTGGATTTTCTATTGTCCTTCTTTGTTACAATCATTGTCAGCCGATGGTCGACGATTTTTCAGAATTTGGGCATGATTGATAAGTGGGTTTTTAATGGAAAACTGTAAATTTAAACATTATAAAACTCATAAAACCTTTGCGTTTCCAGCATTGCCTTATTTACTTCGAATTTTGTGAAGGGAACGAGTGATCGGGCGCGGAATATCCGAAGAAATATTGTTAGGTTTGTAATTTTGTCGCCTGTCAGTTGTTCCAGTAAATTTTTGTATATTTCTCGTATTTTTGCCACTTATAATTTTTAGATATTGCTGCCTGTCGCAAGCCATGGTTTTCCGCGATTTGAGCATGCAGGTTCGCAGGAGATTCCCGACCTTTGAAGCGTTGGTGTCTGGAGGTGAGTTTATTATAGTTATTTAATAAGGTGTTTTCTTGTTAATTTATGATTAGCATTGTTTTTAATACTTTTTAAAATTTATTGAAAGGAAAAAGCTTTCAAAAAGATTAGAACAATGCCAAAAAGCAGAAATTTGTTATTTTGGGTCGAAAAATCGCTTCTTCGATCCAAAGTTCGATTTATACACATGAAGCAATACAGTACCTTCTAGGCTTCATGATGGAGCACGAGCTCGAGCAATTCCACGCCGTCAAAAATCGATACGCCAAATATTGGGTGCCGCTGAACTGGGCGCTGACGCTGTGCAACGACGCGAAAAAGGAGGGGTTCATCGATTCGCATATCAACGAATATGCCATCACGCAGGTGAATATTGAACAGTAAATCGTGTAAAACATTGAAAAGCATAGGCTTCGTCTCGTTTTTTAAGTAAAAAAAAAATCCGTTAAAACTTCCAACAAATAAAATAAACAAATAAAACTTCCAAACAAACAAATAAAAAGTCAAGCTTTAAAATCCTTTATTTGCAGGAAATCCGCCACTTCCGCACCGGGCTGTCGCTCGTTTGGCAGCACGACTGGATTTCGTTGCCGATTCTGTATCCACAGGTAGGCAAAAATTTGCCATTTAATATAACTGTTTTTAAATATATTTTACTACCTTAAAATTAATAAAACAAACTTTTTTTAGATCGTCTTCACAGCCACTCATGTCTACTTTCTCTTGGCGCTGTTCTCTCGTCAATTTATTGTCACTGCAGATCGGGTGCCTGGAGAGGTAAGCCAAAAGATTTCTGTTTTCCAGATTTCTGTCTTTCTTTACGAAATTTGAGAGACTGTGAGCTTGAAAAATGGACCAACAATCGCATTATCAGGATGAATAAAAATTCGCATAAAGATCACGATCAACCACGTCGATATTTTAGGTCGATATTCACTTCCCTGTGATGACCGTCTGCCAATTTATCTTCTACGTCGGCTGAATGAAGGTGGAAAAATTATTTATAAACCAGCGCCCAAAACCCGCTTCGCGGGCCTTGGGCGCTGGAATTCGGCCTTTGCATAAGAAATTTGACTTTCCGATAGCTCGGGTTCTTCGGACCCCCTCCCCCCCGGCCGACCACACGCGCGAGTGCAACTGGCAAGAATGAGGAAATTTGTATTTTCTCGCATTATGCAAATTAGCCCTCAGGGACCCCCAAAAATGAATAAAACCGGCTTTAACTTTGTAAACTTGTATTTTATCGAAATTCTGAGAACGCCATCGGAAAGAGGAGGGTTGATTCCCCCAAGTGACGGAGAATTAGGGCATTTTGGACACGAGAAGGCCCTCAAATCGGGCCTCGAAACTGACCTCCGCACACACACACACACAAAAGATACGCGACCAAATTATATAAGGTAGGATCTTAGCACCGAGTTTTTAGGTCGCCATGGCTCTCCTAAATCCGTTCGGCGAGGATGATGATGATTATGATTGCAACTTCTTGCTGGACAGAAATTTGACGGTGAGAGAGAGAACGAGAGCGTGAGAGAGACAGAGAGTGAGAGACAGAGAGGGAAAGGGGGACATAGGGAGAGATAGGGAGATAGAAAATAGATTTTTAGATGTCCCTGGGATGTCAAGACGCTCATCGCGACCCTCCGGAAATGAAAAAGGATGCTTTCTGGAATATGGAACAGGTGATTAGGAGCCTGTAGCTTATACTTTCGATCTTTTAGGCCCAACCGCTCTATTCTTGGCACTCTGCCCTTCGTCACATCAACTTCTTTATGGGATCTGCGGCATTGCAAGAGTATGTAAATTAGAACAGATCTTTTTTAGAGCTCTAGAGTTTGTAGAGGTTTCAAATGGTCTTGCGGGGTTTTTTGGGCTTAATTGAAAGATTACAAATTCTTGTAGGAAAGAAGAAGGCGGAATGAAGGGAGAGGAAATCACAATGGTGCCCCATCCGGTCAACGAGAAATATATGAATCGGTGGGTGGTTTTAATTTTTTTGACTGGTTTATTATTACTAAAATTTTAAAATTTGTCATAAAAGACTAATTTTCATAGCATTGGCACTTATTTCCGGCTTTCATCCAACTCGATGTATTTACGTTTCGATTAGAATAATCCATTTAACTTTCTCACCCCTTTAAAAATAATCAAAATAATTAAATGTTAAAAAGTAAAATAATTACGTTAATTAATAGCAAGGAATTGAAAACATAGCCTACTTTTAAACTTTCAAAACAAGATAAAAAATTCCCGTTTCAGAAACGAGCCCGGAGAACGACGCCCGACCGTCGAGTAAGGCTAAGAATTCTTAAAAATTTCTGGCTTTCCGCTTCCGCTTTTCCCAAAATTTTAGGCCCTGGATTTTTAGCTTGCGGAGGCGCCGGAATACCCCGAGGCCCTCAATTTCCGGTCACACAGCCGGAGAAGATGAAGCCGGGCTGCTGCTCCTTGGGCGCCACAGTCCACGGTCTATAAATCAGACTTTCGAGTCCCTTTAAAAACTTCCTAGACCCACTATTAAACTTTCCTATCGCTATCGCTAGCCCTCTCTCTCACCCAGCTTTCAATGCATGGCCATTTTTTGGTATTTTGGCTTCGGCGACCTGTCCTGGATTTTGGAGCCTGTAAATCTTCATATTTTTTTTGGTTTTTAGTCCGCAAAGAACGACGCAACTCGGCTCGATGCTGTCAACGAGTTTGGCGAATATTCGAAGGATGACAAAGTGAGTCGAGTGGGGTATACTAGCAGTGATTCTGGTAAATTCTTTGTAAATTGAAATACATTGAAAATTGAGAAAAGCAGGCTAGCAGTGGTTCTTTGGGAATTTCTGGCATATTCTGGACCTGAATATGTCAGATGGAAAACGATTTCTATAGCATTTTTCGGGAATTTATGCAAAGACGACGAAGGAGATTTTTGCAGGGTCTCAATGCTTTAAAATTATTTTTTCAACATACAACAAGTCATCACGGATTATTGGGCAATTTAGCGTCAGGTGAAACCGAGGAAGAATTGGCAAAGCAAGCGAGCGGCCGTTCAATGGAAATTTTGAGCCCCGGAAAATTTCTGAAAAAAATAGAATCCGAGCAATTAAGGACTTAAGTAAGGATTTTAATCGAATTTTCTAGCCCCTAGCTAGCTAGCGGTGACCTTCCGGAAAATTTGTGATAGCGGGTTTCAACCTTGATTCGAAATCGATGACTACTTGAGATTTTAGTGCCTAATTTCGAAGTTGAATCAGCACGTTTTTTAGAATAACTAACTTATAGTTATTCCCAAAATTGGGGCTTCAGGTCTCTGTCAAGACCAAAGCCAAGCCTACGATGCGTATATTTCAGCGCTTCAATGGGCTCTCGATCCCGGGTAAACTCGGCCGTTATTGTGGAAGAGGGAGATGACCGGATTACGAGATTACCGCCTTTTGAGGTAAATATAAAAATAGCTCTGATAGAATAGGTATCTCCATAATAATAAGAATAGGAAGCTTTGTAATGAAGCGAACAGAATTATTTACTTATCCAACAGATTTTATCAAACTTTCTGCCTTTTTCTTCCGCATTAAAGCGCGTTTTTTAGAACGGACTCCGACCCCGCGCGGCCTCTGAACGACCACCTCAAATCAACATTTCTCGAGGGTCCCTTGATTCCGATCGATCCAATAACAGCGTACCCAAATTTTAGAAGCGGCTTAGCAGTTGTTTGATACTTTTTTGTGCTTTCTCTGTGTGAATAAATCCATCAATCTCCGTGGGCTCTGCTAGCTTTCCTCGGCGCCTAAATTGCCTGAAATTGGTGCTGGTTCGGCGCTACACCGCCCGATTAGCTGCGAGCCGGAAGTGAATCCCTCGAATCCGCACAAAATCTTCGCTCCGGCTTCTCATTTGGCTATCTGGGACCGGAAGTGGAGATCGAGGGGTGGAACTTGGATGGCACATGGAACTTCGGGGTTTGTTGCCATTGCTCCACCGTCCCAAAAAGCCCATCAGCCAAAACCTGGAGATTCCGGTTCGGCAAAGGCCCTCCATGGCGAAAAACCCACGTTTAGGTGCATGCCAACAACAAGTGGCAGGGTTACCTAGCAGCCAAATGCAAGACTTCTAGAAATTCCGGAGTTTCCGGGAAAGTCTGTGTAAATTTTTTTTGACGAGCACATCAATGATATATTTTGTGATATTCTCATCCCTTGTTGCCCAAGGCAAGGCTAGCGCAGTTTTTGAGCGCCAGTCAGGCGCGACCGGACTTCCGGATCCGGATATCAGATGTTTTGCTAATTGTCTAGCAATTCCAACATGCCTAGGGCTTGGTAAATGGGAAGTTTCTAAAAAACCAACTCAATTTTCTAGCCCAAAACTGCAGCATAATCGTAGACGCAGCCTTACTATCGACGGACGATAACTACGTATTCCAGGGTAATTCGACGGAATCCTTGGAGAATTGTCGGCAAATTGAGGTGGCTTCATGGAGGGACTTTCGGGGGCGCATTATCATAGCTTTTTTCTTGATAAATAAAGGAAAAGTTTCTACGATACTTCTGAATATTATATTAAACCACTAAATTTTACAACAAAATTAAAAAATTGGTTAAAGTGCAGTTTACCCCCGCCCCCCCCCCCGCAGCCGACACCCAACTTTTGCCTCTCGGCTGATTGTTCATCTACAGGTGTGTAAAGTATATCAAAATGTTCGTCTTGATCTGGCGAGTATTTTAGTATACTTTACACACCTGTAGATAAACAGGGAGCCGAGATATGGTAGGTGGGTGCCGGCTGGGGGGGGGGGGCTAACTGTACTTAAGCCAAATAATTTTCTGCTTTCAAATCTCACATAATAAATTCTCTTTTTGGTGCGTCTAGCTAAAAACTGCGTATTGGTCTGCTGTCCAAGCACGAAAAAATTCAAAAACTTCACAGAAATCATTTTAGTACACCTGTGGCGTCAGTAGTACCTGGACGGAATGGGGCGACTGGTCAAATTGTACGGAAACCTGCGGGATGTTTGGCACACAACATAGGGTTCGAACGTGCTACAACTGGCAGGAGGACATCGTCACCTAAATTTTGATTTTTCTGCGGTTAGACTGCAGTTCCCCCCAGCCGGCACCAACCTTTGTATCTTGGCTCCCTGTTCATCTACCGGTGTGTAAAGTATATCAAAATGTTCGTCTTGCTCTGGCGAGTATTTTGGCATACTTTACACACCTGTATAGTGTTGGTTTTTGGTCCAAAGTCCGTGGACATTTTAGTCCGCGGACCTTTCGTCTTGCAAAAGTCCACGGACTTTTTAGTCCGAAATAGTCCACGAACTTTGGACTAAAAACCAACACTACACCTGTAGATAAACAACGAGCCGAGATACGGTAGGTGGGTGCCGGCTGGGGGGGGAGGGGGTAAACTGCACTTAAGCCTTTTTGCAGTTAGTCATTCTCCTTTGGGAAGCACGCTCTTTTTACGCGTATAGCAACACTTACAGATACGAAGATATTGCCACTTCGAATTGCCCTTTGCCACCATGCTATTTTTCTTATATGCCATGCCGTGCCGGTTATACGTGGGGTGCTAATCCGGACGAAAAGGGCCTCGCCTGCTTACCATCATAGCAAGTAGTTCATGTGAACAAATCGGATTATTGAACGATGGAATAAATCCACTTCTCAAAAGCATGGTGTCAGCGTTACTACTGAAATTGAGAAATACCGTTTTCAAAAGGGGTCTGAAATCCGGCAGGAATCGAACCCGGGTCGTGTGCCTGGGAGCCCTGTGGCGCAGTGAGTAGAGCGTCGGCGGGCCAATCCAGGGCTACCGCCAGTTCAATCCCAGCCCCCACCAAAAAGCTGAATTTCGTTTGCCCTATTTTGCAATCGCTTCAGCACGTCTTCTAGATGTGATCTCATGCTCCAAAATTAAAAAATTTTTGGTTATGCATTTTTTGGGTCATTTTTGGTGCGTTTTGGGCGTAATAAATGGAATATTGCAGCAAATGGGTGTCAGGCCGCCTAATAAAAGATCCATCAATCAATGCAGAAAAAATTGCGCACCTTTCTATGCTAGTCTCATGATGCACCAAACACCCATCAAGACGACAACTGCCAAAAACTGTTTTTGGTATGCAATATACCAAGGTTGCGGCCATTTTCGTATTTGCAATGTATTAAAAAAATGATCCCCATACCAAATTAAACCTAGTCACAAAATTTCAGCCCATTATGCCCGGTAGTTTTCAAAATCATTTTTCGATGTTGGCAACTTTCAAGGCTCTTTGAGAGGCTAACTCGACCATCTCTTTCAGATGACGCGAAAAAACAGGGTCGAAAAACTGTACCAAGCCATATTGGGGACAGGTCGGGTGAGCCGCGGAAGGTCTTTCAATAACTAATTCCGGCACTGTACTGTTATTGGGGGGGGGGGTTGATAGATTTGCATTGATAGAGGCTTATAAATAGGCTAAAAACATTTATATATCTGAAAACGACATTTTGGCAATTCTTCATGCATTTCAACCAAGATACGAAAAAATTGCGATGATTTTGGGATGCTTGAGGTCTTTCATACCTAAAAACTCTGTATAATGTCGAAAAACACAAACGCGCAAACCTTAAATTGTTTTTCGTTATAGGACGGTTTGTAATTACTAAGCAAAAACTTTTTTGGGTTGTTTTGTGGTTGGAGAAGCCACCTTTAATAGCATAGCCTCGAAAAATTCTCATAATTTTTTAGTTGGTGCTCATTTCGCCCGGAGAACCAGTCAAAGGGGATTGGTTCTGTTCTTTCTGTCTGTATGGATGGGGCTGGCTGGTCTGCCAAAAGCTTCTCCTCCCCCCTCCTGCTCAGTCTCTCTATACGGACCCGATAGGGATCTATTCCATGATGCCGAAGGGAGCATATCCTTCCACCTCCTCTCTTCCTCCTCCACCTCATGCTCATCTCTCTTCCTTCACAGTCCCTTTAATCGCCTCCTCGGGGGCTCATCGAAACGAGAATTCCCGAGGCACCATCAAGATGCCGTCGGCACCCTCGGAACGAGGCTGGATTTGCCGCTGTCGAGCTGGGGATTTTTGATCCGTTTTTCGTCGCTGGACATTTGCGGCTGTACCTGGGGTGTTGCAACTTTGATGCTTCGCTATGTTAGCCGATAGTTTCGGATTTTTTAAATAATATTTTTTGCAGTTCTCGCTTTTTTTGTTCTTGGGTTTTCTCCATTAAAAATGGATTTTCAAGTTGACAAGATCAAATTTTTTGGTGTATTCTTTTTTGTTTTACTTAATTGAAAAAATTGAAATCGTATTTAGATTTCTTAAAATAGTTGAAATTGCGCACAAAACACCAGCGAAAATCCTTACCTTATTTTTTCTTTATTGGATTTTTATGTACTTTTTTATTGTTTATTAAGTTTATTGGATTTTTGCCTGGAATTGCATGTTTGCGTATGTAAAACCAGTGGAAAACGACCGCTTCGCGGCCCCTTTCCACTGGGCCCCGTCCAGGAACCATGAATTTGAATAGCTTCTTTTTAGCCTGCGGCGCAAGAACCTGGGTCAGACCATTCTTTGGCCTGCGCCGCCAGAGCCAGTGTTGCCCTGGAATCCTTGAGCCTGCGGCGCTAGCTACTGCTTTTTCTCCCGGATTTAGCCTGCGGCGAGAGCGTGTTTCAGGGACCTTTTCTTTGGCCTGCGGCGCTAGAGCCGTCGTAAAGGACCCATCCTTGGCCTGCGGCGCGAGATCCTGGGCCAAGAACCTTTTCTTGGGCCTGTGGCGCTAGAGCAAAGGCCAGGCCTAAATCGCGCACACGGAAAGCCTAGAAATATGTTTTGTTGCTGAACGACCAAAAAGCAAAAAGATAAATTTCCCCGCGGATCCGAACACGTGACCCCAACGCCGTAGCCCTGGCCTTGATCCACTACACCACAGGGGGGAGGTTGGAACGGGCAGCGGTAAAGGCCTCTTCATATCCTGGGGGCAGAACTGGCTGTTGTACTAAAAGGAATCGGCCCCAGCACCTCCGACAGGCATGCCTTCAGGCCACTTTACAAAATTCTACCTTTGAGGTGGAAGCTGGTCGAATTTTGTGAAAATGATAAGATGCGCGTGATCCTCGCCATTGAATGCATGAGTGGTCAAAAATACAGGTCCAAATTCGCCATGTGTATTGAGATATGGCCCGGACACCACGGCCCGTGGCGCGATTTATTAAGGACCCTACAGAAAAATGCTCATAAAAAATGTATCTTAATGAGTTTCGCAAAATCTGAAAAAATGTTTCTGGGGAATTACTTTTCCCATCTACCTTCCAAAAATGAGGCCTCAATTCCCTCTAGGCGCTGAGAAAACTTCCGGACAACGCGGCAAAAACCCATTTTGTTAAGGATTTTTCACTTTTTTGCTTGTAAAATTGTTAAATGAAGGTATTTCGTAAAACAAAAAAATGCATCACTGACAAATGTGTTTCTCCACCTCCATGCCAAAAATCAGTCGGAAATTCGGCGTGACGACCGAGAAATCGGCTGTACAGAAAACAAACATACTTTTCTCGCTTATAGGATAGGATGTTAGGGAAATGTTGAAGTATTGATGCGTACGTTTTTATCCTCATTTCTGTAGTTTTTCTAGCTTTTTCGTTGAGCTCCTATATAAAGATTTGTTTTTAAAAATAGCTCTAAATCGCTAAAAACAGCTCAGGAGTTTTTTTTGCGGGAGATTTCAAGCGGCTAGTCCACGAAAATCGCCTCCTTGCAATTACCAGGCCTTAATAATTAGTAATTATTAATTACCCTATGCGCCAAGCCCCCGTATTTTTAAAAAAATCCAGTTTTGGCTGCTTTCCTTCGAGCCGTCGTGGATTTTGTCAGTACGCGAGAGTACACTTTTATACCCCTACGCTGAATCCTCTGCTTGCCTAGCTTGTACTCTCTCCTTTTCTCTCTCTCTCTCTCCCTGTCTCTGTCTCATCCAATCTCTCTCATTCGCTTTCCCTCCCCCCCTTTTTCTCTCTCTCTCTCTCTCTCTCTCTCTCTTTCTCTCTCTAATTGTTCTATAACTTGTTATAGCTGGCTTCCCTGCCGATCTGCGAAGGTGATGAGGCGGAATGCCCCCCTAGTTCGGCGTGGGGCTGGTGTGACTACGATGGTCCGTGGTGGAGCACTACTTGGGAGGAGGCTCGGGCACTTGGTACCCAAAAATTAATAGAGAATGCGCACCACCTACTCCCGGCCCGAAATTTTTTCTTTTCACTGCACTTTTAAGCATTTTAAATAAAAATTTCGATATTTCCGAAGGCGGTTGAGCGCGAGAAACAGCGAAAATCTATGAAAAATGGTACAAATTAGCGAAAGTGGGGTCGTAGATTTGTTAAAATGTTCCATTTAAAGATTTAAGCATTGTTAAAAATCGGTTTCCAAACGTTTAAATACGCTAACGTTTTTTAGATTGTTTCGACAAATCGAAAAATGTCTAAAAATTGGATATTTTTGCACCCTTTTTGAATTTAAATGCCTAAAACAATTTTGCTATGTTTTTCAGGCTTTTCCAAGTGCACGAACCTGCTCTGCCAATTTTTCGTCAACAAAATCCTGCCCTACCTCCTCATCGCGTTATTAATTCTGAAGGTCGAACGCCACTATTTCGCGCCAAGGATGGAATATCCGTTTTTAAAAGGTGATTTTTATATATCAAGTATTTAATTTTTCATGATTGAAGGTTTTTATCAATTTTAGTGGACAACACCTCACGCGTAGACCTCAGTTTTCGTTTTCGTCAGTCGCAACGACACGAGAATTGCGGGCCGAATACGACGCTTTTTATAGGTATGGATAACCCACGTAAATTCAGCTCTCTATATTTTTATTTCCTGACCCCTTTAGTCCACTGCTAATCCATATTCCAAAAAAAATTCCGGTTTTCAGGAGTCATTTCCCGGCCTACCGAATTTGACCTACGGGAGAGCGTGCGGAATAGCTGGGCAAAGAAGGAGAATTTTGATGCCAATTTCACGAGAGTAGAATTTTTTGTCGGGAAGCCGGTAAGTTATGGGGTTTTAAAGGCAGCGGAAAGCCCCAAAATCAACCCTTGCAACGGCTAGGCCCAGACAATTACGCGGCATAGACTTCTTAGCCGCACTACTAGTTGATTTTTTCAGAAAGACTGGGAAATCGAGCGTCTCCACGCCGAGATGTGGCAGCACGGCGATATATCAATTGTAGCGTTGTAGAGCTTTAAAAATTCGTTCTAATTTTTTGAATCCTTATTGCTGTTTAGATCGACATGGAGGAGGACTACTACGCGTTGCCACAAAAGACGCTTGGGCTGTTGATGTACAAAGAGCAGCAGTGAGTTTTTAGCTATTCAGAAGTGCGATGATCCACTGTTTTGTAAAAAGTCCTCAAATGATTTCTGCCGCTATCTTTTCGCTCTCTCTAACTTGCTCTCCCTCTCGCTCTCACTCTCGCGCTCGCTAGCTCTCTCTCTCTCTCTCTCTCTCTCTCTCTATTTCTCTCTCTATCCGTTGGATTTCGGATTCCCCAAAGATTACTGCTGGCTTACCCTCCCCGGAATCCCAACGTTGCTCAAAAAGACTCGGCCGGTCTACCCTTAAAGGAGCTACGAAATGCCAAAAATTGAATGACGGCCCGAAATTCGAAGCCCTGGACTTCGGAGGCCTCTGTACGCCCAGGGGCCGGGAAGCTCGCAAATTTGAAATTGCCTGTTGTCACCTCGAAATCACGTTCTCGGCTGTTTCTGGGCCAAATTTGATGATTAAAACACCAAAACTATTTAAAATTGAGTGAGGATTTCGAAAATGGGCTCAGAATGCGCGTATGGAGTGTTTTCACAAAGAAACCTGGCAAAAACAACTGCGCGCAAAAATCGAAAGAGGGAGGGCTCTTGTCCCGCAGCGCCGGCTGGCAATTTGCCAGAAATCAAAGAGCCCTCCCAAAAGGGATTTGATTTGACAGTTCGGAGCCCCTTTAAATCCATCGCATTCCGCAATGATATCTTCCAGCCTGCTACTTGTTTATTTTATGACATTAAAAAAGCTTTTTATCAAAAAATATTTTTAGATGCCCCCGAGCGCGTTGCCTTATAAAATCCGATAGTGATAACGTGCTGAACGTGCCAGCTTACGAGCGATTATGCAATGGAACGGGTATTTGTAAAATGTTGGTTTTCTAAACAGCTTCAACATCAGCCCCCGAAGCAAAGCGTATCTACGGCGCCTGCTCGGTGAAGACGAAAGTTCAACGACATGGGAAATGGAGTATTCCCAGATGGTTGTTACCACAGAAGACGTTTCCACAGTAAGTGCCTGACATGGAACGCGGCCCCGCTAAATGAATCTATCTTTTGGGCCTATCCCTTAAAGGGCACGTTCAGGGACGTTTTTTTGAAAAAAAGCAAAGATTTCTGCCGCGGCCGGGGGTCGAACCCGGGCCCCCGCTCGGGAGGCGCGGATAGATACCAGTCAGCCACAGCTACAACCTGGCCAGGGGGCGAGGGGCGCCCCACGCCGCAAAGGAGGGGAATGGCCTGTCACGACACGGGCAGGCAGTGCGCGCGGTCCCTACGTCCATAGGGTGTACACGTTGGGACGAGTATACGGCTCCTCCCTGAACGTGCGCTTTAAAGACACGAGCAAGGCATCCTAATCCAGTAAGTAATGGAAGGGCTGCTTTCAAAATGTTGAAGAACCTTGATAGCTAAATTTAGATTATGAAATTCATTCACTCTAGAGACTTGTCTGTCACTTTTTCAGCCATTTACAGCGTTTCTTTAGGTACTGCTCCACCGGCATCTACATGTTTGCCGGTAACTCGACGGTCAACGACATTTTGGAGAGGGTAATTCTTAACTAGCTGCCACCATCCCCTTAAAATCAACATATTCCAGGTCGGCATCTCAAAATACTCAAGATCGGCCAACTACCGTAAACTGCCCGAGGACGTGCTGTTTAGCGGAATATTTCCGGAGCAGCTGGGAATCTCCAGGGTTTGTAAAGTTTTAAAGTCATTTTGAACTTTAAGGAACGCAATTAGTTTTCATAAATTTAAGATTGATTTAAAGAAATTTAAAACAAATTTTTGCCTCAGCTTAAAAATTTGAATTCCGAAAAATAAAATTAGTAAGTTCTGTCTGCTCTCCTTTCCCTTCCAAAATTCACGAAATTTTCCATTTCGCGCTATGGGCTTTTGCGCTTTTAGTGCGCGCGATCCGAGGCCGGAACTTGATCTGGAGATCGCCCCCAGATTGCATGCAAATTTCGGAAAATTTGTGCCGCCTGGCGAAAAAGTTCTTTTGGTGGCGGCGGGCACCCGGAAATTCGACTCGAAATCTGGACTGCCGATCTTTTTTTGGGGAACTTGGCCGACAGGTGAAAATGGATAAAATGGAAAGGTCACAAAATTAGCATGTAGGCACCATCAGATACAAGCTGAAATTAAAACATTAAAGTTTATTGCATATTTTCTTGGGCAAAACAGAAATTTTGCATATTTTAAAAATGCTGGTGGGATCGCCTTATTGGGGGTACCAAGTTTTTAATTAAGTTCCAATTTTTCGAATATAAGAAACGAGGAATTTTTTGAATATTGCCAACGTGACAAATTTAGAATTTTTAATACAAAACACATCAATAACGACATTTTTGTTTACAAATTCCTTATTTTTCATTTTAACATTGCCTGAAAAGTCCCTTGGTCGGTTTTAGGCTTGCAATAAAGTCAATTTTTGATTAACAAGTTTATTAATATACTTAATATTTCTAGGTGGACCTAGACTTTAAAAAAAGGTAGGTTTTCCCCTGATAAACTCGCGTCCTGCCCCGATAATGCACAAGAACCAAAAATCTGATAAAAGCTGAGAAAGCTCATTTTTCCAAATCACCAACATTGTTCAGATAACAATCCCCGGCGTGTCGTTCAATTCCACCGTCCTCACCGGATGCGAGAATGGGACTACGCTGGTGTACAGCTTACACATGACGTCGAGCAAGGATCCCGCGGAACATCTGACATGGATAAGGAACACGGCAGCCGCCAAATGCTTCGATTTGAACCTCGCCAAAAAAGAAGCAGAATTCTGAGGCGGAGTCTGTAGAAGCGGAAGAGCCGGAAGAGGCTGTATAAATTCATAGAATTTTCATAGAAATCATAGAAAATTCATAGAAGAATCATCTTCTGCAAATTTAAATATTAAAGTTAAATTAAAGCATATTTCCTATCCTATCAGCGAGAAAAGTATGTCTGTTTTCTGTACAGCCGATTACTCGGCCGTCAGGCCGAATTTCGAGCTGATTTTTGGCACAGAGGTGGAGAAACACATTTGTCAGTGATGCATTTTTTTGTTTTACGAAATTCCTTCGTTTAAAAATTTTATAAGCAAAAAGGTGAAAAATCCTTAACAAAATGGGTTTTTGCCGCGTTGTCCGGAAGTTTTCTCAGCGCCTAGAGGGAATTGGGGTCTCATTTTTGGAGGGTAGATGGGAAAAGTATTTCCCCAGATACGTTTTTTCGGATTTTGGAAAATTTTTGAAAACAAAGTTTTTATAAGGATTTTTCTGGCAGGTCCTTAATAAATCGTGCCACGGGCGGTGGTGTCCAGGCCATAACTCAATTCACATGGCGAATTTGGACCTGTGTTTTGGACCACTGATGCATTCAATGGCGAGGATCACGCGCATCTTATTATTTTCACAAAATTCGACCAGCTTCCACCTCAAAAGTTGAATTTTGTAAAGTGGCCTGAAGGCATGCCTGTCGGAGGTGCTGGAGCCCATTCCTTTTAGCACAGCTCGGTTCCGCCCTCAGGATATGAAGAGGCCTTTACCGCTACCCGTTCCATTTCCCCCTGTGGTGTAGTGGATCAAGGCCGGGGCTACGGCGTTGAGGGTCGCGGGTTCGGATCCGCGGGAAATTTTGCTTTTTGCTTTTTTGTAGTTCAGCAATAAAACATATTTCTAGGCTTTCCGTGTGCGCGATTTAGGCCGGGCCTTCGCTCTAGCGCGCAGGCCCAAGAAAAGGTTCCTGGCCCAGGATCTCGCGCCGCAGGCGAAGGATGGGCCCTTTACCCAGGCTCTAGCGCCGCAGGCCAAAGTAAAGGTCCTTGAAACACGCTCTTGCGCCGCAGGCTAAATCTGGGAGAAAAAGCAGTAGCTAGCGCCGCAGGCTCAAGGATTCCAGCGCAGCACTGGCTCTGGCGCCGCAGGCCAAAGAATGGTCTGACTCAGGTTCTTGCGCCGCAGGCTAAAAAGTAGCTATTCGAATTTATAGTTCCTGGACGGGGTCCAGTGGAAAATGGCCGCGAAGCGGTCTTTTTCCACTGGTTAGGACTATAAGCAAATTTTGAAGCTTCTAATTTTTTGTCGTGATCGCCTTCTCCTTTATCAGCAATCAGCTTTTCCCAAAAATTTGCATACCTCGCATTAGAATTTGCCCTTATTAGTTTTTCGCTTTTGTTTTGTTTTTTGGTCCCAGTCCTCGAATTGAATACCGGTCTGATTTACATTATCACATATCGTATCGTTTATTTTTTTATCGAAGCGGTTTCAATAAATATTTCTTGATGCAGTTAGGAGCAAAAAAATACGCAAAATACGATATAATTGGTCTCACTCACTCTCCCTCTCTCGCTCTCTCTCTCTCTCTCTCTCTCTCTCTTCCTCCCCTATCTCTCTCCCTCTCGCTTTTTCTCTCTCTCCCTCGCTCTCTCTCCCTCGCTCTCTCTCACTCTCTCTCGCTTCCTCTCACTCTCTCTCCCTCTCTCTTTCTCGCTCCCCCTCTCTCTATCTCTCTCTCCTCTTCCGAGATGTACCAAAATGCAGAGATCGAAACTGCTGATGGGCTTTTGTGCTTTTCGTGCGCGGCTTGACCGCCACAAGATCGCCCCCAGATTAAATGCAAATTACCAAAATTCATGCCTTGCGAAGCTTAAGTTCGTTTGGCACGCGGCCGCGTGAACTTGGAAATTTCATCAACAAAGAGCTGCCTTGGCAACTGAAATATGGAAATGAAATAAACTAAAAAAGGACAGATAAAAAACCTAATTTTTATTCTAAAAGTACTAGTTGGAAAATCATATTAAAATCACAAACCCAAAAAAAAGCAAAATTATTTTAAAAATCCGGGATTTAAAATCTTATTCTGGGAGTAGTTCGTTGCCTTGCGGGTCCCTTTAAAACCGAATCTGATTCTCAGGATCGGCGGTTTTTAAAGGGACTGACAAGTTCAACGCTCGCTACGTCTCGTCACTCACTCTCTCACTTAATCTAGCTCTCTCTCTCTCACGCTCTCTCTCGCTGTCTCTCTTGCTCTCTCTCTCCCTCTCTACCAACCTTTGCCCCTCAAACTTTAGCCTCCCGGCAACTTTCCGTCAATTTCCAATTGACGCGCATGGTTTCGCGTGGAGATAAGCCCTGCAAAAATTTAACTACTTTTTAATGGCGGGGTGAAACCAAAGACACCGTCAAGATACAAGCTACGGCCAGATCTTTGGCCCGCTTGCAAATGATGCTACAAATTCTTCTAATTTTTACCTATCTTCTGGGGATTACTGTAGCCGCCGACTGCGCGGAGTACAAAACGTGTTCAAGTTGTGTGAACGGGACAGTCGGTTGCGGGTTTGATTTCTAAAATTTTAATTTTAAGAAAAAAAATACTGTAGATGGTGCCTGGAAGAGAACAAATGCTCGACGTCGGCCGATTGCAAAACGGTGTATTTTCTAAAGGTTGGATAGGGTGGACTTCAGTTTTTAAAAAATTCAACGACTATGATAAAATAGGTTTTTGTGCTTTATCGGGGTGGGGACTGGGTAGGGCTATTCTTTAAGGAAATGCTTCCTCCGTAATAGTCAGTATTTTAATGGTGTTTCTAGGAAATATTTATATTCCTATATTTCAAGTGGTAACATTATCCGCAAAAAAATGAAAAATAAATCGTAAAACTCGTCATCTTGGTCGAAAATCTATATTTTTTTTGTATTTTTGTAATAAAAATTTGTCACATTTTGCATTTAAGACTGGCAGAAACAGCCTAGAACCCATTCCGCGATTTTATGGGAAAATGATACTATTTATGGGATTGATGCGATTTTATGGGAAAAACTTGTTTTTTAATGATATCTGGAAATTTGGTATCCGGAATTGAAATTGTTTTTTGTTAAAAAAATGTATTTTTTAAATAGAATTTTTTTCCATAAATTCAGGTGATCGGTAGCTTTCCAAGTTCCTTTAAACGCAAAAAAAACCGTAAAAATTCCAGGACGAACCAAGCAACTGTCCCCGGCAGCCCGACCCAAATTTCCCATTCAACGAGACCTTGGCCCGGAATTGGGTCCTGCCTCTCTGTGCTGCTGCCTACGGCACCGAACCGAATGTTTGCATACAGTAAGCGCACTCTATCTAACGCTCCTCGCCCGCCCTCTCTCTCTCTCTCTCTGACACTCTCGCTCTCGCTCTCTCTCTCTCTCTCTCTCTCTCTCTGTTTCTCTATCTCTCTCCCCCTCTCGCTCTCGCTCACTCTCCCGCCTCGCTCCCGAAAATTTTGCCTTCAGAAAGCACGTACCGACCGCCACCTACTACGACCGCGTCGAAGTGGTGTGCGACGAGTTCAAGAAGCTCGGTACGTTGCGAAAATTCGAAGATTCATCCGCGTTTCCGAAATCCATCATTATAGTGCTCAATGTACATTTTAGGCGACAACTGCTCAGCTTACACCTCCTACGACAAATCCCTTCAACAAATTATCGTAACCTTCCGTGGGTCAGCTGGCAAATACGAGATGTTCATCGAGTTTTTGAGCATAGTAAAGTACGTTTTTGGGTGAAGTTGTAGCTTTCAGCTATACAAAAGAAAACCGGTCCCTTTACCATCTTTTTTCAGTCATAAAGACGACTTTTTCGGCACGGGCAAAGTGTACGACTACTTCCACACGGCATTCCTCAAAATATGGCAACCACAGTTGCAGACACAATTCCGGGCATTAAGGAAGGTTTTTCCGGGCTACAAAGTGCTGGTGAGTTACGGTCTTTGCTTTCTAGATTACTGTATTTTGATATTTTGAATTTTAAATTATAATACAGGTAATTGGCCATTCGCTTGGTGGGGCCTTGGCAGCGCTGGGAGCCGCTTATATTGCAAAAGTTGAGGGAGTACCCGGAAAGGATATACGGTAAGCGAGAGAGCGAGAGAGAGAGGGAGTGAGAGAGAGTGAGTCCCGCTGCTTAAAAATCAGTTTTTCAGGCTAATCACATTCGGCGAGCCGCGGGTTGGCGATAAGAATTTTGCCGATTATTTGGAGACTACGGTAAGATATACGGTATTCCAAACGTACTATGAACATACGGCATACGGTAATGCTTAAAAAATTTTAGATACCAAGCTCTTATCGGGTCGTCCACCAGCTTGACCCGATCCCACGTCTTCCGCCCAAACTCTCAATTTTTGACATGGTGCACCATCGGACGGAACTGTGGTGAGAACACAAATCATGATACGTTAAGAATGAATTTATATAATCTGAGTATTCCAAATATATTTTTTTGAATTTCATTCACCAATTGTTAGGAGTGTTTTCAAATAAAGTAATTTTAATGGCTTCATAAACGAATATCTTCTTATTTTCTATCCTTTTAAGATTAACTACAGTTGCCTTAATTAAATAACCAAAATAAATTTAGATGCTCGAGAACATATTATTAAATTACCTTATTACCTTATTAAATTTTTCTAAGGATTTTTAAGGTATCAAAACGACATGACACCCGGAAAGAAATATGATATCTGCCCGTATCAGGATTTGGATGGGACCTGTGCGAATACAAAACAGGCATGGGTGTTTGGCGTAAGTGTTATAATTAGTGTGCCTTTTCCCAGACTACGGTAACTAGGTCACCTTTTAGGATCACACCTCCTACTACCATCCGCCTGCAGCGATTCCCGCCTGGGGTAGGGGTGGATGTTAGCGGAATCGAGAAAATCGTTTGGAGAACTTTTGGCTGAATAAATCGCTTAAAAACGTAGAAAGTGCATTCTCCATCCTAAAACACGGATGCCATCAAATTTATTCTACGATAAAAATAGTTTTAGACTTTGTGGGGGAGCTGTGCTTCGTGTATTTCTCGGCTCTCTAGCAAGGGGATTTTCAAATCCGCGAAAATTTTGCAAAGAACCGTTTTTGAAAGAAATAACGCAAAATAAACGCAAAGAAATTTTTTTTCTTACGCCGAGATTAGACGATTCCACGATGTCTTCGGAATTCCGCATCAATACGAGCAACGAAACACTCCAAATGACACCTCCCCATGTTCACGCATCACAAACAAAGCTTTTTCTCTCACTCCCTCATAATTTTCGTCAAGCGTAAAATGTCTACAGGAGCATTCCGGAAGTCTCGATTTTCTTCAGCCTCCTCCGGAAGCCCATTAAACCGTGTCGTCAAATCGTCAGTGTCCCTCTATTTCCCAGCCGTAAAGTACGAGACAATCCGCCCGTTCTGACGGTCTATATGTTGCGGAAAAAAGAAGGGAACTCATTTACATTTCCACCCCATAGACGACGACCGTCTATGAAACAGAGATCGCCGCGGGACAAGAATCAAGCTGGTTACGGTAGGTAATAGGGACTTTTGGGCAAGGCAATCTAGCAAAGGCTATTTTGGAAGGGGTAATTAACTGAAAGGCGCTTTTGCATTATCGGGGGTGGGGGTTATCAGGGGAATTCGGGCAACACATCTTAATTTATTCGGATCTTTCACATTATCGGGGGGAACCAGGAGGGATTCGGGCAATACATCTGGATTTCTTCGGATCTTTTGCAATTGCGGGGGCTTAGAAACATAATAGCGTTGCAATCGTGTTTTTAGCAAAGTGTAACTATATTTCAAGTCAAAAACTACCTAAAAATTTGCACAAATTTCTAAAATTCAAAATTTTTGTCCCAATCACTTTTTTTTGTTTAGCAGGATTAGTGTGGTTTTTGCGTTTAAAGCACCAAAAACAGTGAAAAATATCTCCGCTATTTATATTAGAAAAACTAGATCCTAGGGAAAAAAATTGATCTCCCTCGAAAAAGGCTTTTTGGAAGCGCAGGTGGGATAGCAGAGACTGTTTGGGAAAATCGACGGAAATCGGTAACATTTACAGATGTCCAATCGTCTGTTAATATTCGGCCTCCTGCTGCTATCCACGCAGCTTCTCCACCGCGTCAATGCCTCAGAAGCCACCATCGATATCACGATCAGTGCCGAGGATCTGGCGGATGATTCGGAAGAATCGAAAGAAGATATCAGCGACCCTGTGATGCCCGATGAGAAGGCTGATATCGAATTTAGCAATGTAAGGGTTTTTTGGCTTCGGCGATTCTTTAAAAAGGAATATACTGTACTTTGCGCTACGCTTATGGCCCACGTTACGCCACAAACGATACGTACGCTTACGCTCACTTGAGCTACGCTTCAGTACTGCTCTTGTTTCAGAATTGCACGGCGATGACGAAGGCCAACGACAAGGAGATCTGCCAGATGATCCAGCGGTGGTCCAAGCAAGTTCATGTCGGTTTTTCTTCAATTTTTTTCAGTTTCGGTCTCTCTCTCCCTCTGTCTCTCTCTCTCCCTTTCTCCCCCCCTTTCTGTCAAGTTCACCTTACTTGGCTACGCCGCACTCTAAATTACGATTCCCTGCGTCATTTGCCGCCTCATGCATATAGCTATCAAGACCTAGCCGCCGAAGGGGACGAAGGGTATCATTCTTCCCAGCTCCTTTAAAAGAGTAATATCCAATTTTGATATCATTGATTTCAGAAAGAAGTAGTCAAACGCAAGGAGGAGTGCAACAACCGTGGGATGGGAATCAACCAGGTGTTCATCGGAATCAAAAAGAAGGCGGTATGTTTTATTTTCTTGATCGGTTCGGAAAAATAAAATAAAAAGTGCTGTAGCTATCGGATTTCAGGCGCAGGCTGTAAACACCACGGTGAACGGGCGATTCGGATTGGCTTTGGATCGTGATGCTGCCATTCAGTATGAAATTTATGCGCTCTTAGGCCTCTAAATTTAGTCTACGCGCTAGCCACTTAAAGAACGGTGTGAAAAGTGCTTTTTTCAACTATTCAAAGCTTAACTAAAAATTTTCAGGGCGCATTGCAACACTCGGCGTGCTCCCAGGCAACAACTCATCCAGGAAAAGCATGAAATCAGGGCGAAGCGGCAAAGGTTGAATCAGGGACCCATGGGGATTACGGTAATGGAATTTTTCAGATCCACCCCTTTGTAAAAGTATTTTTACATTCTATATTTGTATTTTAAATTCATTTATAAATTTACGGACTTTAATTTAGGAGCTCCGCGGCTATGTCGCCGCGCGAAAAGACGCGAAACACGCTGCGGCAAACGCGACGCACGAGCTGCAAGCGGCCCAGCAGCAGCTGAAGACACTCGTTGGTGCGTGGAATTTTTAAAGGGATTGGCAAGGCATGTATATGGATTTTGGCTATGGATTCCTTATGAATTTTAGCGCGCAACCCCAAAAAAGGTAAAAATGACGAAAAATTCCCAAATATTCTCTGCTAGCTTGCGGGGCAGCCGAGAAAAGTGTAGATAAGCTAATGGAGAAATTTATACATATCCTGTCTCTGAATTTGTTTTAATCGGACTTGTATTTTATCAAAATGAAATTTTTATCTTTTAGACAGCAAGGCCCCAAAAGTGCAGCTTGACGCCCAACGAAAATTGGTCAACCAGGCACGATCAAGAAACCAGCGGGCCATCAAAAAATTGCAGGTATCTTCGAAAACGTCATTTCTGACATGTATCTTCACCGTTTTAGAACGCTATCAACGAGCACAAGATTGCGAAGCGCCGGTTCGTGACGCTGCACCCGAAAAACGGTACTGAACAAGCTCACTCTCCCATTTTTTAATACGGTAACCCAAAAACGTGACTTCCGGATGTTCGAATTCCTTACGAGGCCTATAATATAGAAGGTTTTGAACGTATTTTCCGCTTCTTGACTTAATTTAGTTTTTCGTATCTTTTGCAGCCGCCGTCCTGGCCGCCAAGCAAAAACTGGAGCAGCAGCAGAAGAAGGCCGGGAAAGTTGGAGGAGCTGTCCTGAAGCCGATTCTGGCCGCGAGACCGCCTGGTAATTCCTCTAAAATATCCCATAAAGCTTAGTTAATTAATATTGATTTAGCTTAAAAGTGGATGTACTGAAAAATAACCTAATTTTTTTAAACGCATTGAAATAGGGTCTGAACAAGCTCATTTCATAGGAAAACCCCGCGGAAAGCGAGCTGCCACCAATTCCACGACGCTCCGCGCCGACGGAAAGGGAGTGGACGTGAAGGCGACAAGCTATGAAGAGTGCATGACCATCGCTTGTCTATGCAAATTTTGGAATGGTGGGCATTCCAAAAGGAGGGCAAGCTAGCAGAGATCGTTGAGGATACATGGCATCCTAGCAAATAACATTTGCGTATCAAAAAAATTGCTTCAGGTACCGCTTCTCAAAACTGCACCTACAAGGGGGTACCATTGACAAAGGTCGGTTTTTTGTAGTCGATATTCGATATAAAGTAGCTAAACAGAAATAGAACATGCGTTTTTAGTCGATCCGCAAGGAGTACCACATGCTGACCGACGCGGAGCGGGAGCGCTACCACGCCGCGCTCACCAAGCTGAAGGAGAAGGGCGTGTACGATGTTTTTGGTAGGTACTGGGGTTAGCTTGGCTTGACTTCGGCTTGGCTTAGGCTTGGCTTAGGCTTGGCTTAGGCTTCTCTTAGGCTTGGCTTAGGCTTGGCTTAGGTTTGGCTTAGGCTTGGCTTAGGCTTGGCTTAGGCTTGGCTTAGGCTTGGCTTAGGCTTGGCTTAGGCTTGGCTTAGGCTTGGCTTAGGCTTGGCTTAGGCTTGGCTTAGGCTTGGCTTAGGCTTGGCTTAGGCTTGGCTTAGGCTTGGCTTAGGCTTGGCTTAGGCTTGGCTTCGGCTTGGCTTAGGCTTGGCTTATGCTTGGCTTATGCTTGGCTTATGCTTGGCTTATGCTTGGCTTATGCTTGGCTTATGCTTGGCTTAGGCTTGGCTTGGCTTAGGCTTGGCTTAGGCTTAGGTTTTGCGCAGGCTTTGGTTTACGTTTGGCTTAGGCTTGGTAAACTTACCTCTTCAGCCACGTTCCACGCCGCCGCCGCCCACGCCGTCAACGCACACAACGGCCCAGCTTTTCTTCTATGGCATAGAGAGCTGTCGAAGCGGTAAGCGAGACCGAGAAAACCCGGATTTATCGTCAATTTCAGTTACGAGCTCGAGCTCCGCAAAATTGACCCGCTCGTCGGCCTCCCCTACTGGCTGAGCAGCGTCAACAACTACGCCCCAAAACAGGGCGAAATTGTGTGGCGCTCGCAGAAGCAGATCACGTTTAGGTAAGAGAGACAGAGAGAGAGAGGAGAGAGAAAGAGCGAGAGGGAGAGAAGAGAGAGAGAGAGAGAGAGAGAGAGAGAGAGAGGATAGCTATTAACGCGTTTAGCGACACCTTCATGGGCACCCCAGTGGGAGCGATCACGGCTGGACCAGCGGCTGGTTGGAATAACACGGCTAAAGTAAGTTAATTTTAACGTTGTATTCAAATTTTTCGTAGAATTATGGTGTCTGGAAAATATAGTGCTTAATGCCGTAATTTCAGTTATTTTCAGACCGGTCCTCTCACCCGAAACGTCGGTCGTAGTCTTGTGTACTACGTCACCACCACCGTTTCGCAGATCATGAAATACGCCTCGGATTACACGTACATATTCCGGGTTTTGGACCCGATTAAGGTGAGTTTGTTTTTTTTGGAATTTCTGAAAGGTGAGAGAGGGACAGAGAGAGAGAGAGAAAGAGAGAGAGAGAGAGAGAGTACGGCATATCCTGAATTTCAGACATGTACCATCGATTGGTTCAAATCCCCGGACCCCAGCCTCGAGTTGTATCACGGATATGCGCATACCAGCGTTGGAGGTAGTGTTCTGATTCTTGACAGAGCCCGAGAGAGAAAAGAGAGAGTGAGAGAGAGCGCGCGCGCGAGAGAGAAGCGAGAGGGATGGAGCGAGAGAGAGAGGGACAGAGAGAGCGAGAGAAAGATGGGAGAGAGAGTGCGAGAGAGCGAGGTATCGTTTTTCAGGTGATATGGGTGATACACCAACAGCCGGAGCTGATCCGCTATTCTTCATGCACCATGCCGTCTACGATCAGATTTTCGAGATGTGGCGTCAAAAGTGGCAGGTATGAGAGTCATCTAGCTCTGACTCACTCTCGCTTTTCCTCTCCTCTCTCTCTCTCTCTCTCTCTCTCTCTCTCTCTCTCTCTCTCTCTACAAAAGCAACGTTTCAGGATCGTGATGAGCGTGAAACACAGTACCCCTCGGATGACATTATATCTGGATGCGTATCTTCCACCCATTCTGGTGGAGCGGCGTTGGAGCCGTTCACAAATCTTAGGTATGGAGAGCGAGAGAATGAGAGAGAGAGGGAGAGGGAGAGAGAGAGAGCGAAAGCGAGAGAGAGGGGAAAGAGACAGTGAAGGAAAGGGGAGAGAGATCGAGCGAGTGAGAGAGAGCGAGAGAAAAAATTTCTAGGGTTATCGACGCGCTCTCGAACCTGTACACGGACGAGCTCTACGAGTACGGGGCACCACCAAGCTGTTCGGCCGCCAAGCCAGATTGTGGCAGTCCGTAAGTGGAGGTTTAAGGGGGGCCAGGATGTCAATGAACGGCGTAGAGTTCTGGTCCCTTTAAATTCTAAAAAACCAAACCCTAGGTACTTGTTCTGCTCGTTGAGCAACGTCTCGTGGTGGGAGACGGCCGACTCGATGGTCAAGTGCATGGCCAAGATTTTGCCTGGGGGATCGGTAATTTACTGCATAGATTGAATCAACAACTCCGTTTAGTGCGGCGACTTCGTGAAGGGCGAGAGCCCGTGCTACCAGGGGAAATGCGTCAACGGGACTTGTGTTGTAGGTTTTGGGGTCGTAGGTCTTGTTAAACGGACGCTGAAAATTAGATTAAAATAAAATCATATTTTTAGGCAGTCTGATAGCTACGAGATGCTCCTCTTGCCGCCCGATTACAAACTCCAACTACCGAATAAAGCTTCTGACGTTGTTACTTTGCCCTTTTTTATCGCATCGGATCAGACGACCAAGCTCCCACAGTCGTAAATTCGGCAATTCTGAATTCCGATTGACTCCTTTTTATGTTGCGGAAAGACGTAGACGAGAATTCCTGAGGCTTTCGAGACATTCTGATACAATTTTCGACACGAAAATTCTATACTAATCTACCAAACTATTTCTAAAAATTGTAAAGTGCTTTGGAATGCCACCTCGTCTAGCTATAAAGTTATTATTGCTATTTTTCGCTCTTCTGGCCCCAGGATTTGCAATAAGCGAGGTAGACATGGATCTGGAGATGGATGAAGATGACGTGGAGGATTTGGAATTAGCTGATTCTTCGGACGAAAAGCAAGACTTGAACCCGGAGTTACCGGACGAGAAACCGAACGTCAAATTTGCTACCGTAAGCAACCAAACGGAATTTAATGCAGACATTTTCGACCACATTGCGAGTAAAAATTAATTCCACGTTTTTTATCGTTTTTCACTCAAAATGTTGTTGTATTTAGCCCCGTTAATTAGAGCTGGTTCGTGTAGCCGGTTTTTCGATTTTAGAATTCATTTAGGACTGTTCTGCAATTATCAGCCCAATGGAAAGAGACATTTGCATGATGGCACGGGAGTGGTCAATTCAAGTGCACGTTCGTTTAGCAATTTAACTCACGGTATCTTCTAGAAAGAGGTGGTGAAGCGAAAAGTCGAATGCGATGCCCTTCAGCTCGGTAACAACTCCACAAGAGGACCTGCCAAGAAGAAGGTTAGTTTTTAGGACTTATTTCTGCATAGAGAAACGAATTTTCTAGAAATATTGCTCTTATAGAACGCCCATCAAAAGAGCACAGACCGATTCGGAATGGCGATGGATCGGGCAGCCGCCATTAGGTTTAAGAACTATTTGAAAAGTGATACGACTTGAAAAGTCGTACTACAATGCGATTACGGTAGCGCATTAACGTTAGCATCAGTTTTTCAGTGCGCATTGCAATCATCGAAGAGTTCAGCGGCGTAAATTGGCGGTTTTGAAACAGGAAAGTCGTGCCAGAAAGCAGCGGCTAAACCGTGGGCCAATGGGGATTACGGTAACAAGATTATTTTATAGAAATTTCCTATTTTCAGGAACTTCGCCAATTCGCAAGCTCTCTTACAACAGCCCAGCAAGCTCTGAAAAATTCGTCAGTCGATTTGCATGAGGCGCAGAAGAAGCTGAAGGAAATGATCGGTAGGTCTAGTACCCACCTTTTTTTAGCCGGATTTCAAAATAACCTAAACTAAAAATAATCTAGAAATAAACTCAGAAAGACATCGGGTAGCTCTGGACAACGAGAAATTTCTGATGATTTTCAGACGCTAAAACTCCCAAAAATCAGCTGGGGCAGCAACGGAAACGTGTCAACCAGGCCAGAAATCGGCAGCAAAACGCCTGGAAGCGATTAAAGGTGTTTGCGCTTGAAAGTTTGAAAAGGTAATTTTAGTTGGCAACAAATGAGCACAAAATTGCAAAGCGTCGGTTTGCTAAATTGCACCCTAGACACCGTAAGTTTTCACGCAATAAACACCAAGCCGCCAAAACGATTTTCCGGTTTTTTTTTTTTGGCCATATGACGAAGGTTTAAAAATGTTTAAAATTAAACTTGTTAAAACACCTGTTTGAGAACTGAGAGCCTAGCTAGCTAACTAAAAGTAAAAATTTCGAAAATGAAGCAGCTATAGCCGCAGCAGAAGCCGCAAAATTGGAACTGTAAACGTTTTATCCTACTACCTACTATATATAAAAAAAATAGTGTGTGTGTGTATATTTGCATGCACTTCCGTTTGGATGTTCCGCACCTACAGCCTCAGGGAAGCATTTTTTCGGTAGGGAAGAAACGTCATAGGGTAAAGAAGGGGCCGGAATCGACTGCACACACATAAAAGTTTTGAAAAATTGCTATTTTCGATATTAAAATTAGGTTTTTGTCAAGGTTTCTGCCAACCTCTTTGTTAGGAAGCAATTAGCATACGCCGGAAGTGGAAATGGTTGATAAAAAGGAAGAGAGGGCGCGCTTTTCATTTTTTGGTGAGCGCTTTTTTGGGCAAGGATTATGCAAAGTCAACAACTTCATCGATCCTAGACGGGGCCAGGGTTGAAAAGCCGCGAAGCGGTTTTTCAACCCTGGTGTTGAATTAATATGCTTTTACATTTTTTTGTCATTGTCTATCTCTTAATTTTTATCACAGCACTCGTCCTGGCGGCCAAGCTAAAAGCTGCTCAAAACAAGAAAGCTCCTCAACAACGACCTACAAGGAAAAATATTGCCGCAAATCGCTCGAGATCTTTATCCCCGAGAAGAAGTATGCTTTTCAAGGATTTCAAAATTGCATTAAAATTTGTAGCCAAAAATCGAAGACTAAACGAGACGCAAAGCACTCGAATTCGACGACACTCCGCGCTGACGGTCTGGGAATTGATGCGAAAGCGACGAGCTATCAGGAGTGCATGACGATTGCATGTTTATGCAAATTTTGGAATGGTGGGATTTGGAAAGGACGGGACGAGCTAGCAGAGTTCGTTGAGGACAAGGAGGGAGGCTAGCAGTGATCATTAATCAAGTAACGGCAGGCCGACAGAGACAATTTGAGAAATCATGTGATCATTTGTAACGAAAATACACGTTTTTATGCAGAATATTCAATTCTTAACTTTCAGGAACTTCTAGTCCAAATTGCCACTACAAGAAGCTCCCGTTAACGAAGGTAAAAACGCGAAAAACAAAAAATTGGATTTTTAGGCCGTTCGAAAAGAATATCACACTCTCACCGATGTAGAGCGGAATCGATATCATGCCGCGCTGAAAACGCTGAAGAAAAAGGGGGTCTACGATGTTTTTGGTAGGGTCTAAAAGGCATCTAGACTACCGTAACCTTCAGCCACCTTCCACGCAAAAGCCTCAAATGCGATGAATGCCCACCACGGGCCTGCGTTTTTGCCCTGGCATCGAGAGCTGTTGAAACGGTCAGTCTCTCTGTCTCTCTGTCTCTCTCTCTCTCTCTCTCTCTCTCTCTCTCTCTATCTCTGTCTCTCTCTCACCCTTTCTCCCTTAAAAATCACAATTTAGCTATGAACTGGAACTCCGCAAAATCGATCCACGCGTTTCTCTACCCTACTGGCTGAGCAGCGTCAACAACTACGCGCCAAGAGAGCCAGACTTTCCGTGGCGTTCCAGGCAACAGATAACGTTCAGGTGGCTTTTAAAGAGATTGAGAAGCGCAGGATTCTACCCCCTCCATGGACTAGGTCTCGCCATTTATGCCATTAGGCGTGTGACGAGACCTAGGAAGGGTAGAATCTCGCACTTTCGGGTCCCTTTAGTAAATCGTTTCAGCCCAAAATTCATGGGATCAGCCGTCGGGCCCGTGAAAACCGGACCGGCCGCCGGATGGAATCGAACGGACCGGGTAAGGCTCGGATTCGACATCTACGATACCGTATTTTCGAGCGGACCATTAACCCGGAACGCTGGGGATCGTAACGCATATTTCGTGTTGACGAACGCCGCCCTAATCCTGGAATATGCAAACGATTACACGTGGGTATTCCGGACGCCACCACCTTATATGGAGGTGCGTTGAAAAGCTATGGCAATCACGGTCTCTAAATTCTGACAATTGGCGCAAGAAGTTGGAACAGTTCAGGGACTTTTCAGAGACGACCTGCCAATTTCAGACTTGCACGACCGACTGGTTCAAATCTACGCAGCCCAGCTTCGAGGTCTACCATGGCTATGGGCATATGACCGTTGGAGGTAGAGAGAGAGAGAGAGAGAGAGAGAGAGAGAGAGAACAGAGATCGAGAGATAGAGTGAGAGAGTGAGAGAGAGAGCGAGAGAGAGAGAGAGAAAGAGAGAGCGAGAGAGAGCTTTTCAGGAGATATGAACGTTACGGCGACAGCGGGCGCGGATCCACTATTCTTCATGCATCACGCCAACTACGATCAGTTATTCGAGACATGGCGCCAGAAGTGGCAGGTAGGAGGTCAATATATCTCTCTCTCTTGCTCTCTCTCTCTCTCTCTCTCCTCCCCCCTCTCTCTCTCTCTCTCTCTCGCTCGTTTCCAGGATCGTGACGAACGCGAGACCCAATACCCATCAGATGACATAATTTCTGAATGTACCTCAGCTACACACCAAGCAGCTGTCGCCATGGAACCATTTACGAACCTTAGGTCCGTTTACAGTAGCCTTTTTGAAGTTGAACATTAAGCTGAACGAGTTCAGAAGCATTTGGATCATCGGTACAGAGAGAGAGAGAGAGAGAGAGAGAGAGAGAGAGAGAAGAGAGAGAGAGAGAGAGAGAGAGAGAGAGAGAGAGAGATAGAGAGAGAATGTGAGAGAGCTATTTTTCTAGGGTTATCGACGGCCTCTCCAATCTTTATACCGACGAGCTCTATGAGTACGCCCCGGCGCCGAGCTGTTCGGTGCAGAAACCGGATTGTGGTAGTCCGTACGTAGCGCATCCTAACCTATCGAATTTGTTCGTCTATCAGATACCTCTTCTGCTCGTTGAGCAACACCACATGGTGGGAGACCCAGGTGGCGGTCAACTGTCTAGCGAAAATGATGCCGGGTGGAGAGGTAATTTAACATTTTTGAGGAAGGCCAAAAAGTTATATGAATTCTTTTAGTGTTCTCATTTTGTCTCTGGGGAAAAACCCTGCTACCAAGGAAAATGTGTAAACGGGATCTGTGTGGTTGGTTTTGAACCTTAAAGGGAATAGAAAGCGCCAGGATCTACCCCCGATATCGACTAGGTCTATACATATCTGCAAAATTCCAAAACACGAGCTAATTGCTATCCCGAGAATGCATAATTTTTAGCTGTAACGTTATAGAAAAGAAACCCTGTTTTAGAAGACCTGATTGCACGTCATCAACGCGTTCATCTGAGCTCCACCTTCCTGATTTAAAACGAATAAAAAAATGTTAAAGATTATGAACTGCACTGCAATAATTATTGAAGCTAGAGAAAGAGAGAGTAAGAGAGGGGAAAACAGAGAGCAAAAAGAGAGAGAGCGAGAAAGAGACACAGAGAGAGAGAGCTACTCCGTGGATTTGAGCAGCACTTAAAATGTGCATCAACTGCTCAAGATACATTTCTTGTTGGTGCCAGTATCAATTCGAAAAATCCCTCTGTCTCTCTCTCTCTCTCTCTCTCTTTCTTTCTCTCTCTGTCTCTCTTTTGGCCACAGCGTGTCGAAAGTCTCCAATTCGCATCGAGGTCAATGTCAAAAACGTGGCACTTCCTGGTATCAATTCCGCCGGCCGAACATTTGCTGGGTTCTGTTTTTTCGCGGCAGTTCAGCAAACCATCAACAATCACCTCTCCCTCCCTCCCTCCCTCCCTCTCTCTCTCTCTCTCTCTCTCTCTCTCTCTCTCTCTCTCTCTCTCTCTCTCTCTCTCTCTCTCTTTCCTCGTGGGCCCTATATATTGTTTATTTCCGCTTGGCCGTATGTTTGGATCCCGATGGACTTCCCGGTAGTGTCAGCTTTTATCAACGCCAAAGATTTTTCAGAAATCAGTTTTCGCTACGATTTAGATCAAAAGCCGTTCGGCTACGTTTGGATTGTGTCAATTGATACAAAATACATTTTTGTGATGTGTCCTGGCAGTCTCTGTTTTATCTAGAGAGCACGGGCAAGAGAGCGGGACGAGCGAGAGAGAGAGAGAGAGAGACAGAGAGAGAGAGAGAGAGAGAGAGACAGAGAGAAAACGCGGGAGAGAGAGCACGAGATTGATAACCTCCATTTATTCATGTCTTTTGATCTGGCAACCGTGCTTCTTTTGGCTGCGGTAATCAGCTACATTTTTCCGGTTTAAGAATGAAATTCCTCTTAATAGCCGCGGTACTGCTCGCCAACGCGTTTGCCGTTAAACAGGTACGTCTCGCTACATAAGAATATTGTCTGGAGACGGTCGAAAATTTTGGTCAAACGCGTAACGTGGGCGTTGCATGTGCTCTGGTAGTAGTGACGAAAGAGAGCGACACGCACCGCGCACGCAACGCTTTCAACTTCCAGGTCGGAAAGCGCAGGCGTAGCATTTTAGGATTTTAGAATTTTCATCCATATTTTACGTCTTTCTACAAAGCTTAAAAAGTGACTCTTCCCTTAGGAACCCCTCTGCAAGACCGACACGGACTGTCGAAAAATCCTGAGCCCGGAATGTGATCAGAAAATTGTGGTGTGCAAGTGTAAAACGACATGGTGCAGCCTGTATCGGGTATGGTAGAGTCAGAGAGAGAGAGAGAGAGAGAGAGAGAGAGAGAAAGCCATATAAAGAAAGCATTGTTAAACTACCCCTTCAGCCGTGCGACATCAAAAAAGGCGAGACCAGCAACATTGACTGCCTGGCTGGGCAGACCTGTGGACTTGATACCGGGGTCGGTCCTTAGATGCGTAATTAGTTGCCTTGCGGTGTTGTCGGGACCTAGTCGAAACTAGGGGTCGATTTTCAGGCTTTCTGATCCCTTAAATCAACTAAAAACTCGTGAAAATTTTGCGCTTTTCAGGACAACAACTACAAATGCGTGACCGCCGTCGACAAGGGCGTCAATTGGATTTTGACGCCCCCGCCCAGAAAGCAAAACAGAGGGAGGCAGAATTAGGGCCTTTAAAAAATGTTCATAAATTTAATGTTTGTATATAATGTCACAAATAAATTATATTTGTAAAGTGAGTCTACCTATTATTTTATCGGCTTTGCCTTCGATTTTTCGTTTTTTTAACGCTAAGTTTCGTATAAGTTTCAGCGTAATTTGGTGTAAATTGTAGTTCTGTTTTTAGCCGTATTTTAACTTTATGAATAACAATTTAGGTTTATTAAAATGAAATTTCTCGTCTTCTTCGCTCTGCTGATCGTCGCCGTCATGGCCCTGGGAACTGTAAGTGAGAGGGAGAGAGAGCGAGAGAGAGCGGGAGTGAGAGCGGGAGGGAGACTGACAGAGAAAAATGATTTAAACAAAATTTTGGCCTATTTTTTCAGCCCTGCGACATCAAGAAGGGCGTCACCGGAAACCCGGACTGCAAAATGGCCGGCGAGACCTGCGAGAAGGATCTTGGGGTAAGCATAAAAAATGAGAATGAGTGAACAGGGAGGAGCGAGACAGTATGAGTGAAAGACAGAGAGAGAGAGAGAGAGGAGAGAGAGAGAGAGAGAGAGAGAGAGAGAGAGAGAGAGAGCGAAAACGCGCGGGCAAGGGTGAGCAAGAGATCAGGCTATAACCAAATTTTCAGTCCAACATCTACCGCTGCGTCATCGCGATGGACCGTGGTGTCAACTGGGTCCTGACGCCTCCGCCAAAGAAGCTCGGGCAGCACTAGAGCAGCTTCGGCTCTCTCTCAAATTCATAATAGCCAATAAATTTTAAGCATCGTCCATTAGTGCGGTTTGTCGGATTTGTTTGCCTTTGATTTCTCGATGTTCAAAAATATACTAACCCAATTTTATCCCCTTTTTCGTCTGGAGGGTTTAGGCATGAAGCATCTGCTGTTATCGGCCATACTGCTCGCCGTCGCCACCTGGGCTGTCGATCCGGTATTATTTTAAGTTTTTTTGTAATAGGAACTAAATGAAGACGTCTTCGTCGTCGTCGTAGTCTGAAACGGCACTAACCCCCTTCAGGAGCCGTTCTGCAAGACGGATGCCGACTGCGTCAAAGGAACGCAATGCGACCAGAAAAAGGTGTTTTGCAAGTGTCGAACGACATGGTCCTACCAATATCGGGTAGGTGGTGGAGGTATTTTAAGTGCCGTGTTACTTTCAAAAAGTCAGAACTCGGTCTCGATATTTGTAATGCCGAGATTCACAAGGTCGAAATTTCCTCATGCCGAAATTTGGGATGACGATATTCATCCGGAATCCTGAAAACCCCACATACACTGCGAAAAATCTTTCGAAATTTTGAAATTTTGATATTGCGAGATCTCGACATATGAATATTTCAATTCGATTTCCATCACTTTTCTTTTCCTCTTTCTCTTTCTAACTCTCTTTCTTGCGCTCTCTGCCTTTCTCTCTATCTCTCTCTCTCTCTTCTCTCGCTCGCTCTCTCTCTCTCTTTCTCTCTCTCTATCTCTCTCTATCTCTTTCTCTCTCTCTCTATCTCGTCTCGTCTCACTCTCTCGCCCTGTCGCTCTCTCGCTCTTTCCCTTTTTTCTCGTTCTCTAGTTCCTTGACTTCAGCCATGCAACATCTCAAACGGCGAGGACAACAACCCGGACTGCCCACAGTACGAGTCATGCATGCCTAACAATGGGGTAAGTAAGGCGCAGGATTCCGTCAAGGGCGCGGTTTTTCCACTTGATGTGTAAAAAATGGCTTACGATATGTCTGCGTCTGCCTTACTTCTTAGCCCCTTAAAAATACCTTTCAGGAGACGAGTCACTCGTGTGTGAGGGTGATGGACAAGGGTGTCGACTGGATCGTCAAGTATACAACCCCAAAACTTAGCTGGACTTCCGCGGTAAGTTTTAACCCATATTTTAATCTATCAAACTTAACAGCAAACATGTGACATCACCAAGGGCGTGAAGAACAACACGGCCTGCAAGCCGGAGGAGACGTGCGAGTTAACTGCTGAGGTGAGCAACGATCCACATGATCGCAAAGGCTTGTTAGGCTTGGTTTAGGCTTGGCTTGGGATTAGGCTAAGACTTAGGCTCAAGCTTAGGCTTAGGCTTAGGCAAGGTCAGGCTTAGGCTTAGACTTGAGCTTAGGCTTTGGAAAAAAGGGCCCTACTTTTCTCGAAAAAACCAAAACTGCGTTTCAGAAGATCTACAAGTGTCATGGGCGCAACAACTAGGGCGGGAAAAGGAAAAATTTATCTGATTCTTGCTCTCACAAACGCGATAAAATCGGGAAGCCTTCGCTTTCTAATCTCCATGGCAAAATCGTAGGGTAGGGGCCGAAAATAGCACAACCGAGTCCAAGAAAGGCAATTAATATGCAAAACGATTTATTTTCACCTTCAAAATAAGCTATAAAAATATCGATGATCATTGGTTAATTTGTTCTGGTTGCTCAGGTTGCTTCGCTTTAGATATTTTTCCGAGCATCGGAATGAGTAGCAGTCCGGAAAGGGCGAGGGCCAGACCTGAAAAATGGTTTTTGAGAGCAAGAGAGATAGACAGAGAGAGAGAGATAGAGAGAGCGAGAGAGAGAGAGGGAGAGACATACCCGAAAATATATAAGTCGGATGGTAAGAGCCAGCAATATCAGCCAAGAACCCGGCAATCGACGGCCCGGCCAGCGTGCCGATACCCTAAAAATTAAAATATTAGTAGTTCCATAAAAAATCTAACTAATTTAAAATTGTTTCAACGTTGTCCGCAGTTTTTAAATGTATTTTTAAATCACCTTCAACGTCAAAACAATTCCAAAGGCTTGGGTAAGCTTTTCGGTGCCGACGAGATCGACGAGTACAACTGACATCAAGCAGATCGAGGCGGAGAGGCTGAAAATGTTCGATTCAGTCATGCCTCTTTCTCTCTGGCTTTGTTTCTCTCTCCATCTCTTTCTCGCTCTCTCGATCTCTTTCTCTGTCTCTCTCACTCTCTCTCTCTCGCTCTCTCACTCACCTGAAGCCAAACAGCCCAGCGTACACGGCCAGCGACCAAAAGTCGAGCATCAGAAATGAGCCGCAGCACAGCAGGCCGCAAATCTGAAAAAAAACCCTTTAAATTTACTTAATTAAGCCTAGTAGAATCTTCTACTAAAAATCAAATAAATAGTAAAGGGATTGTGAAACTATTTGAAAACTGCATTTTTCTGGGAATTTGATAATTTAGGCCTTTCCCTAATAAATAATTTCATTAGGTAACTGAATAGCAATTGAGTTACATATAGTAATTTAATCATT